CATACCTGGGCATGCTTTCATTGGCAAGTAGGCGCAAGGTATTGGGCTCATTCACAGCAACAGTGTTTCCATCATAGTCACAGACGGGTTGTCAGTAGGTCTGTATGATATCAGGACTTAATTGTTAAGATACGTTAGTACCAGGATCCATATTATCCCCATGATTGATTATGTTGTGCCAATGTCATAGTAAGTGTGCTCATCCTTTTTAGAGAATCTATTTTGTATTTAAATGTGACATTTAGTAGTCAGCTGTGAATGGGTGAAGTCAACATCCAACTGCGCAGTGATAACAAGCGTTGTGATGATTGAAGGGTGCGGAATTGCCCTTTGTTGCATAAAAAGCTTGTTGTCACCCACTGACAGCCAGCATGATACAGTAAAGCCTTTCAACGAGCCACCTGCTGGAAAGATGCAAGAACAGAGATGTTTGGGGTGGGGGGGGGCTGAACAAATGTCACATGTTTTCTACTCCAGAGGTGAAGTAATCTGTACTCACCCTGTCAAGTGATTGCAGGCACTTGGAAACTAGTGTTTATATTCAATACAGCAAATGGAGCAGTGGTTTTTAGTCATCTGCATCTGCATCAAGCAGCAGAGTTACTGTAGTTCTGTTGGTCAACTTAATATGTTTGTGAAGCGTTTCAACTTTTTAAAAGGCTTTTGTTATTGACATCAACATAGGAGTTCAACACACATGATATAAATTAAAATTCTGGCAGTTTCATGGTATATCCCTTTTTTTTGCATGACTGCTTTTAATTGGTTTTTAAGATTTAAGATTTACTTTTATTAATCCCCTATTGGAGAAATAATTTTTTCCCACTCTTTTTTTATTTTTATACACACAGACTGAAATACACACTCATGCACATGTAGGTCTTGTGGACATGCAAACATGGAGAGAGATGGTGGAGTGATGGGCTGCCACATTAGCAGCGCCACATGAGCAGTTTTTTGGGGGTTAGATGCCTTGCTCAAGGGCACCTCGGCAGTGCACAGGAGGTGATTTTCAACTGTCAGAAGTATATAGAATATAAAAACATTTTAATTTCATCACTAAAAAAAACCAGTGATGACCCTTTGTATGCATCTCAGGGAGCAGGCTTAGACATGATTAGGTTGACCTTTGCATCTGCTTTGATGTGTTGTAACAGTCTAAGCCAGGGGTCTCAAACACCAGTTGGCTTGGGGCCACTACTAATATTGCCATTTCATAAGAGGCCCACTTCAACGTTCGAGTGCTACAAGAAAGCACAATATTCTGCACATCTTACTTAACAAAAAGCAGTCAAACCGCTCATCTCTTCCTAACAAAGTTTGCCCGTATTTCTGGGACATTTGTCATAATTGTGCACCAAATAAAATACATATAGAACATTTTATTTAAAAAAGAAGGGCTGAAAATGGCCCCCGGGCCGGCTGTTTGAGGTCCCTCTTCTAAGCAGTCAGTTTTCTAGCAGGAAACCACTGTATCAGGATGTGGCATATTTGTTATAAGAATACGATATATGCAAATGAAAAGAAAGCTTTTCATCATGGGAAAATAAATTGAGTCCTACCTATCATTTGTACCCCTCATTAAATAACTGAGTATGTCATTTATGGCACAGTCATCTAATCCATACAAAAAGGTAATAAAGGAAGAAATCCTAGCAGATATCACAATTAGTTTCACTAAGCTACTTGAAAGTTATGAGTCTCCAGTGACCCGAAGGCTTCTCTATTATCCTTTTGGATTAAATGAACTTTTGATGTCTGGCTGGTCCACTGCTGGCGTTGATGGAAATTGAAAACGCTTGTTTCTGATGATGAAGGCTGTGAAGCACTATATTATTCTGTGCTGCTGCTCATCTCGGCTCATACCTGACCTATTTTTTTGGTATGATCGACGCCTGAGAGTGATGCCTCAGAGACCGCTTTGATAGAACGGTCTGGATTGAAGTGTATTGCTAATCTCCAAGCTTTGCCAGAACTATTTAACTGTGTTATTTTTAGATCCGAGGGAGAATCTTTCATTTATCTGTCATTCTGCTGTCCCCTCTCAGTCTGTCTCTGCGCTTTTCTGTCTGCATCTCCTCTGTTTATTTTGAGTTTTTAACAGTTTTAGCATCTCACGGAGCAGTCTGCACTTTACATGCTAGGAATGAAGCTGAACAGAAAAAGACCACAGTCTGCTGGGAAGAGTCAAGCGAAAGTGTTTTGTATCTTCACAGCATGAGTCTGTGTGTTGGTATGGTACACACACGCTCAGCACGCTTAACCTGGAAAGCCGCCAGAGTCTCTTTGTGCTGGTCTACTCAGCTGTGGAAGGCAAGGTCCGTCCGAGTCAGATGGCTCAATTACGGCTACCCGACCAATCTTGCCTCGGGATCAGAGGGTATCTCTGTCTTACATACTCTAACAAAGGCAGTGCCCTGCTTGCCCTGTTTGGACAAGACTCATCAACCATCATCGGCCTCAGGGGATGACCCCAGCATCACCAAGGAAATGCTGCTTTGTAGAGCACAAGATTTGGACTTTTACTGTTAGCATTAATAGGTCAGACCCTCTCAGAAATTAACCCAAATGTAGGTGACATGTATTGTTGTCTGTTAAGATTTGGATTGTGGTAGTATAACATAATGACAAAAGGAACTTATGCTTATAAATGACCAATTAAGGGCTGCAATCAGGCGATTATTTTTTTCAATTTAATAATCTTTTAATTATTTAATCGTCAAGTTGCTTGTTTTTTTTTAAAAAACATATTCAATTTAAAATGATATAAAACAAAGAAAAGCAGCAAATACTCACATTTGAGGGGCTACAACAAATTCTTTAAAATGTCTAATTGTTTTGGTTGTTTCATCAACCCTACCGTCATTCCCACATTGGGCACAGTCGGTGTCTTTCTTCTTGTTTTGCATCTGTATAAATTGTTGTGCTGCAGAGTTAATGCATACATTGCACAAACAGTTTTTCTTCATCCCCAAATCTGCAATAAAGAAAAGAAAAGAAAAGAAAATTCAACATTTTGTCCATAAAAATTGAAGTCAGGCAGATGCTACATCTCTCCTGTGTGATATAAATAAGCACTCCTCACCAAACGTAATTGAAAACAGACAAAGACAAAGACATCCAATGAACATATTCAGCCCCCTAAAGGAAGAAATAATTTGCTTTAATGAATCAACCAGCGTTGGTTCTGTACAATTTGTTCTTGAGTAGCTCATATGTCACTTCACATTGTTTTGTTTTAGTTTAAACTTTTCAGATGGATCATTAGCAGTATGGAGTTGATACATTTTCAAACAAACTTTTTAGTACATTGGCCGGTGGTGCGTTTGATGTAGTGATCTAAAAGCAGGGCTCGTATGGTGCCTAGATCATTACTACTTTTATACCGCTCCCCAGAAGAGCTTGTTAAGTGTCAGCGTTCTTGAAATTTGATAATGAGCTTGAATGCCCTTTGAACAAAAGGCAGGGTTTGTTTGTTTTTAAAGCCCCTTGCTGGACCACCCCTTCTGCCTCACTTCACTGCAACCGCTCTCTGTTTATCCTAGCATCCCGTAGCAGTTCAGGGTCCCGGGCTTTCACATGTTGAGGTTCATCATCAAGCAGCTCATATCAAACTGAGACACCCCCGTTCTCATTCATTCCCCTCGCATTTTGACCCCCATCTGCTGCACAGCTCCGTTAGCCAAGTGTGAGACTCGAGGCTTGCGATTTTTTTTTTTTGCCCGCCCTGCCAGCTAATCTATATGCTAATGAGAAGATAATAATCAATGAGGTTCATGCATGGTTGGCCCCAATCAATACCACATTGCACCAGCAAACGATTCAAATGGCTACATTTCATACAGCCAGACAGTTGGGTGGCGTGTTAATGTGGTGGGGCAGACCATAAGTATGCCATTATCCTCTGGTTTTATCTACCCCATTCCACGTAAATGAATTCTGTTGTCATTAAAGAGAGGTTTGAATTCAACTGAAAAGCTATCCCATTTCACTTTTATGAGGGGATCGCAATTTTCTACTCTTATTGTTTCACATTTAATTTCCATAAATGCTATAAATAAGTGGTTTCATGCTTTCCTGCAGCAACTTGGCATGCCCCTCCATAGATTCTTTATATTGTTAATTGAGTTAGGTCTTCAGTACTGTCGTTTTAGCAGGAATAAGGTAAATTTAGTTAAAGATTTAACCTACCAGTACCTCAAATAACAGGCATTTACTGCATTTACTACAGATCACAATTCCTTTTTTTCCTTTCTTTGTTCTTTTTTTACTCTCTAGCCTCAGTGTCAGTCTTGTCATAAAATTGATGGTGATTACTGTCCTGTTAGTAAGATAATGGGTTAGATGTTCAGTCTGGCTATAAGTCACTGCTCCTGTCAATAGCTGATTGTTATGATACAAAATTGGCCCACTCAGAGCTGCCAGTTATTGCTGGAAGTAGTGCTTTCTATAAATGGCGTGAAACCTATGTTTTTAGACCTGCAGTCTTCAAATTTGAGGCACTACAATGGAAATGTAGCCTCCAGTTTTCAGCTGTCCAGACCTAAACTAAGGAAAATAAATAGTACGCTATCTGTGAGCTGTCATTTAAAATACCTCATTACCATGGATTTGACTCCCCCCCCCAAAATAAAATAAAATAAAAATAAAAAATGTATGTGATGATTACAGCCTACCTTATTTTGGAAGGTCCATGCATCCCAAAAAATAAAAAATAAAAAATTCAGTATTCAGGCAGCGGCAGAGGGGGAGGGGAGAGATGGAGTAAAATCATTACCATCATCTTCATTAGAGAGGATCCTGTTGTCCAATCAGCATGCTGCTCTGCACGGGGATTCCATAGGCACCCTGTTGGCTGTCGCTAGGATACCACATAATCAGGAGGCAGGCCGCGGCCTGGTTGGTGGAGTGGGGTGTTGATGCTGGGACGACGAGCTCCCTTTGAGTTGGGGGGTAGACAAGAGGGGCTGGGGGTTTGGATATAGCACAGAAACACGCTTGCACACGCTCACTCATTCACTCAGTCAGCCAACCAGCCAGCCACTCAGTTAGGCAGACAAAGAAGAGCAGCATCCTGCAGGAGGACAGCACGCTCCCGGGGGATGGGGCATCATACCCCTGCATCGCGTTGGGGGGGCCGGAGGAGGTAGGAGCACCAGGGTTAGGGGGCTTTGTCTCAGCAGCAGAGTAACCCTCCACGCAGACACGCACACACAAAAACATACACACAAGCATGCTTTTCTCTGTGGATCTTCTGGCTATTAAAGCCATTATCACACATCAATCGATTTGTGTGGCTGACAAGTGCGTTCTCGTGGTGTTTTTAATGTGGGTCATCAGAGTTTTCCTGTATGCAGGCTGACGGATGGACACTGATGGAGGCTCCAGCACTTTATTACTGTGATCTAAGCTCTGTAGAGACAGCCAGTCTGTCTGACAGTCTCTTAACAGCTCTCATCTTCCTGCAGGCTATGCAAATCCTCTAGACGCAAATCTGACGGCCAGTTCTTGCGGTCTTGTAATGTCAGCTGAGTAGATCAATATGCTCTCTTGTGAGGGGCGCAAAGGGCTGAAATTGTGTTGTTATGGTGTTGACCGGCTCTTTGCAGTGTGTATTACAGGCTGCTGGTGCTGCTCTGATGTGCTCTCACACACATTAGCTTTACCACTTTTCATGGGCACCAGGTTTTTCCCCCAAAACCAATTCAAAGCTTGATTGTAGATGTGGAAGTGGGGTTAAGGATGGGAGTGTGGGGTGCTCTCCATTGCACCCCTTCACTGATGGATGGGTAACTGCTCTCAGAAAGACAGGGTCTGTAGGCATCATTACCAGAGGGGATTCCCTCCCCTGTCCACACACAAGAAGGCAATGGGAAGCAGACTCTGGGATGTAGGCTAATGACTGAATACAGGCAGGCTTTGGCAGCAGTAGTGCTTTGTTTACAACCTCTGCCTGAGTAGATTTAATTTCTTTTTTTGCTGCCGCAATTATATAGACATGCCATTTTTAATTCACGGAAGGCACTACTGAAAGCAAACTCATGGTTCCTTTGTTTTGTAGATTTTACAGTTGACTTTAGTTTTTATATTTTTACTACATTTTATTTCTAGCAACCTCCATTTTGGGGGTTTTGGCTGGTTTTGGTATTCATGTTTTATTTAAATTGTTCTCATTTAATTGAATGGCCCCAGGCATTCTCACTTGATTGACAAGATTTCCATTTTTAATTGAAAAATGTAGGACACATTGTGAATACCCTAATTGCTGTATTCATAAGCATCTAATAATGTAAGCGAGGCTTTAATTTAAAGCACATACAGTTCTACAAACAAAAGCCAAACTCAAATCACAGCTTTTTTTTTTCTCATTCAGTGACTGATTTGTTTACTCAAATATTTAGGGCCGTTCTGCTTTTTCCATTTCAAGGAATAGCATATGGTTTAGTAAGATTGCAGTTTGTTTCCAAGTCGGCTTTGTAGCATAAGTGGGCTATAGAGCTGTGCTTTGGCCCCTAATCCGTTCAAAAGAATAATGAGGAGGAGGAGGAGGAGGAGGAAATAGCTTAAGAATTGTGGCATGGCAGCAGCATTTGCTTCTTATTTAATTACTTCCATCACACCCTCTTTCTACTCCAACTCATTTAAATCCTCAACCTGCTCACTCAACCTTCACCCCTCACTCGCTCTCATTCCCTTTCCAGCCCACCCCTGCTATAACTTAATGCACACACCTCTAACCTCAAGGCTAGAAATTCCATCCTCCCCGTTTTGGCCTCTCTAACATCAGCTGTCATGCCTTTTGAATCCCCCCCACCCCCCCCACACACGCACACTAATCCTTCCCCCTCCTCTACACTACTAGCATCTCAAGTTCTTGTTCTCCTCCTGTTCTATTTGAGCTTGTCCTCATCAAAGATATCTGAACTTTCCTTCATATTCTTTTAACCAAACTTCATCTTTGCCTTTTTGCTTCCGCCAAGGAAGGATGCTCTCTCTCCTCCCATCCTCTTCTCCTCTAATCACTTGTCATGCTGAGGCCCCCTCCATCTCATCTGCCTGGAGAGCTCTGAACCTTTTCCTCCTGTGCTAATGGATAGCGGAGCACCAGGGGACCAACCTTAAAAAGGCTTTTATGGAAAGGGCCTAAATCATACGTTCTTCTCTCCTCCACGCTCGTGACTGACAAGAAAACCATTGATTAATAGGTCTAAGATACTGTATGTCATATGAACATGGTTTCGACACAGTACTTTGTGTTAGCTAAATGTTATTCAGAAGAATTTTGGACTCCACGAGAGAGTTTGAGGAGAGACGAGGCCAATACTAAAGTCAATGACGTCACGTGCCGATTTGTATCGTGGGAGTGAGTGCGAGGGAGTTTTAGTCATATTTAAAGCAGCCTCTGCTAATTAACTTTCACCAAATGTGTGTGTGTTCTTGTTTATGTGAAATGCTCCAGTGTGTACAATATAATTGAGGGTGGCCACTAATGCTAGCCAGCCACTGTGCCTTTTTATGCTAAATTCACTGGATTTCATTAGCTTCCCTAATAGCATTTGTGTGTGCTTCTCTAACCAGCTTTGTTCTGCTATGCCATAAATTTTTGTTTTTGGAGAAGGAAGTCAGACGAATTGTATAGTGTTTCAGAGACTGTTTCTGTCTGTAATATGAGAAGCGTGCAGGGGGACTTTATTTGAACAAACTCCTGAATTTAGATTGAATATTTCTGTTTAAAGAAAACAGGCTTAAAAAAATCAGATTTCCCAGCTGACGCTCATGTCCTACTGAAGGTTCGTGTAATGCCGAACTTCATTTCATGTATTTACATCAATGAGTCATCTACCATCTGTCAGATTGTAGATCTTCCTCTGGGAATGTGATTAAAGCAAGGCAGGTAGACTTAACTTGGTCAGTAGTCTGACAGTATTCTGATGCATGTTTTAGGGCTTGCACTAAATTTGTGTCATTTTAGGTAATTGTAGTGTCGAACTGCAGTGTGTTTTTTAGTGAGGCTTATTATATACATAAATACCCACAAATACAGAAATTAAATAACTAATTAAAAACACGCTTCACCCTCCCCTCTCATGCTCGAAGGAGAAACTATGAAAAACAAAAATGAAATTATAATTTACCAGTTGAGCTCTAAAAATCAATTGGTTTTGTTGTAGATATGTATTACTTTATCGATATTCCCAAATGCTATATATTTAATACATGATAATGATTTTAGAGGAGGTAAATTCACAGATTTCTGATATGTGGGCCAATGTTTTTTGTGCTGGAATGAATATAGACTGTCATAATGTGACTCTGCAAAGGTTCTCAGAAGGCTGCCTTCTTAAACACATTTTTTATTAAAGAATATTGAAGTTAACATATTGAATCATATAACATATACATTGTCAAACAGTACTAGTTGACATTGGTGAGGGCTGCTTCTTCTCTCTTACTCTGTGTTGCCACAGTATTTTAGTAAATTACAGTGCAATTTGCTGGATAACCTTAGCAGCGACGCCAGTATGTTACCAAAAGCATTATATACCAGGAAAAACAGAAAAACAGGATCAGTATGGATCTAATATTTATTTGTTTTGTTCTAGATAAAAATATTACATTCTGCTGCTAAAATATTAATCTTTCTTATAAATTTGAATGATTTTTGGGTGAAAGCTTGAACATACAGAAATGTTTGGCAGACTAAAGTGTATTTGTTTATTCAAAATTGCTTACGGGGAATCATTAGATTCATTGCTTGTTAAGCAACAATTAATCGATTAGTTGATTGAGAGAAAATTATTTTGGCTACTTTAATAATTGATTAGTCATTTCAAACACTCCAGCTACTGTTCCAGCTTCTCAAATGTATGATTTTAGGCTTTTATGTGTCATATACAATAGTAAACTGAATATCATTGTGTTTTTGTTGGTTTTCAGTATTTTGTGACATTTTATAGACAAAAAGATGAAGCCATTAAATGAGAATGTAATCTGCAAATGGATCGTTTGATGCAGCCTTATAAATGTTTTATATCCGATATGCCCACACTCATTTTCACGTAGGATTTCTTTTTTGGATCAAATTAATTTCCTGCTTCACATTTTACATGTGTTGCTGTTCTCACATTTTCTTTGAAGTTTCCTTGAAGCTGCTCATTAGCTGTCATTATACAGGTTTACTACAGCTTCTGCTACAGTTTGCATATTTATTGTATTTATTTAATCTGAAAAGAAAAAAATGTGTTTTCCTGGGTTTCAGTGTAAAGAAGGGGAATAGTTTTTCTCATGGGCTCTCATTTTTCCCTCCTCAGGCACAGGAGAGCCATTCAGAAGAGCCGGGGGTCAAAGGTGAGAAGAGCAGAGGGCACCATGGAGAGTGAGCCAGGGGCCCCTGCCTCCACGGCCAACAGTACCGGGTCCACCTCCACCTCCTCCATGACCACCACCTCCTCCAACACAGCTGCCGGCAGTAGTAGTACCTCTAACACTACTACTACTGCTTCTACCACTTCCACTAGCAGTAGTAATAGTAGTAGCAGCGGTGGTAGTAGTAACACTAGCAGTACCACTAGCAGCACTACAACAGGAAGACAGGCAGTGCCTCAGATATCTGTTTACAGTGGGATTCCTGACCGACAGACAGTGCAGGTGAGTTTGTTGTTGTGATGACATTTTTGACATGTACAGACACTCAGACTACATGCACAATCAAGTTGGCACACTTTCCTTTGCTCTACTGCCCTCTGTTGGTGTAAATAAAACCATATACAGGGTTCAGATATGCTCCTAAATTATATTTGAATGAATTTGTCTTCATTATCAATGTACCGATGAAGGAAATTCAAATAAATGCTAATTTCACATGATCCAAGTGTCCAAGTTGAAGGAAGGAATGCTTTCTGTGCTTTAGTGCTCTTGACCTTTGACCCAGGGATAAGCCTCTACACAGGCTTAACCTCTCCCTCAATAACGTCCACACACCATTTAGTGCTGATGCTTTGACAGCAGGGTTTTTGTTATATTCAGCCCTTCTTTTCTTGAACTCAACCCGCTGACAATTACAAGGCAAACACTATTGTCATGAGGAAGCTCACTGAGGAACTGAAGGACTGCTGGTTTTTTGTGGTCAGAGAGAGTTGAATCCAGTGCATCTCTGCTAAATGAACCCTCATTCCAAGAGGTGTGGATCCAGATCGTCCTGACACTATGGACCACAGGTCAACATCCTCTCTGGTTACCTGGCAACAAGGGGAGGGGGTATTATCAGAGGTGAAGGGTGAGGAGAGTTATTTCCAATGGCTCGGAGGTTTAGTTGTGTTGTAATTAGGTCATGGAATCGTTGAGACTTTTCTTGCTGTGATTAAGGGATGTGGTTTGTTTATGTGTCTGCTTGCAAGTCCATGATCTAATACAGAAATTATGCAGATAAAGATAGAAGACAATCATTTAGAGCCCATTCGATTCAAACATGATTATGATTTAATATTGTTACTTTTTTATACAATTAAATTGAATAATGATAAAATACATTGAAAATAATAAATTGAATTAATTTCCATTTCAAATAAATCATAAATATTCCATTAAATGATGTCCTCTGCCACATCAACAATAGTACACACAGGAGGACGTCTCTAAAATTCTGCTGACTGGTTATTGTTTATCTCCGTACCGGCCAGTGCCATCCTTCTGAATTGGACGCTGTATGGGTGCATGTTTTGCCTTAAACCTGGAAGAAGTAGCATCAGCTACTAATGCTAGCATTACTTGCCTTGTGTTGACTGCTCCTCTCTGCAACTTTACTGTGAACGCACATTTCACCTTTTATGAGCAGTGAGGTTTGAGGTGTTAATGACATGCATTGTGACGTTTTAAAGACCGCAAATACAGTCAGTGTTCACACAGGCTGACATGTCTTTTTGTGTGGGAGTGCTGTGGTTGGCTTGAAGCAATTGAAGAACATAGGAAATGGTTGTCAGACAGACCTGTGAAAACACAGCTCTTGGTTTTTGACAGCTGTATAGATATTCCATGCAGGATTTTGGTCAGTTCTATGTTTGTGTATTGATGAAGCCGAACTTTTGGCTCTTGGGTTAAAACAGTGCAGGTGAGTTCATTCAGGTTTTCTGATTTTCTGTTCATTTGCACACCCTGGCTGAATTTAATAAATGCAGGCTCTTCTTTTGTGCGTGTTGCATCATTGAGCCAGATCTGTCCCTTTCTTTCTTTCTGTCTGTATGCAGGTGTTCCAGCAGGCGTTACACAGACAGCCTAACACAGCAGCACAGTACCTGCAGCAGATGTACGCTGCTCAGCAGCAGCATCTGATGCTGCAAACCGCAGCCCTCCAGCAGCAGCACAACCTCAGCACTGCTCAGCTCCAGAGCCTGGCTGCTGTACAACAGGTCAGCAAACGGTCATCATATGAAATCATCATTCTCACTGTTTAAAGATGATTCTGTTATTGTTGCAAGACATGTTTCAGGAAATGGTAAATTTGTCTCTCTCTGACTCTCTCTCTTCCTCTCTCTCTGCCTCTCTCTTGCCTCGTGATAGGCCAGTATCGCAGCTGGCCGGCAAAGCTCTTCACAGAATGGCACTTCATCCCAGCAAACAGGATCTACTCAGGCTACGGTAAGTGCAGTTTTGAGTGTTTGGCCTCTCTCCTAAGAGCCTCTAAAGTTTAAGTTATCTTTGTCCATTAGATTATCGTGGAACTAAGTTGATTTTAGCACCAAGATACTTTGAGGAAACTGGGCACTGCACTAGCAGCTCTGTGAGTTGTGCTACTTCTCTTTTGCTGTTGAAGAGATTGAAGAGATTGAAATACCTTTTGGTGACATTGTGTTGTAAAAATGTTAAAAGTTTCATATCTGTATATGTCGTTTAAAGGAAACTGGTGTATTTACATATATATATCAGTAAAGTAAAGGAAGTGTATAACCTAATTATCCTGTTTCTCTTCTCCCTGTAGATCAACCTGACCACCTCCCCAGCGGCAGCTCAGCTGATCAGCCGGGCCCAGAGCATTAGTTCCACCCCCACCAGTATATCCCAGCAGGCTGTTCTGCTGGGCAGCCCATCTAGCCCCACTCTCACGGCCAGCCAGGCACAGATGTACCTACGTGCACAGATGGTGAGACTGCAGACACAAGGAGCATTGCCACTGGCAAATTTACATGAGTGTGCATATCAGCATAAATACAACAACACACATGCTTGAATAAATAAGCACATTCCAGCTCATATTTTTTCCCGTGGTGGATAAATGTGTTTTTGGAATTGGTGCGTGTGTTACGTGTTCATGCTTACTCTGCCATAGTAAATGCTGTGCTTTATTCTGATCCTGCCACCAGAGGAGGTGGTCAGAATAATCTGTCCGGCCCCAGAGGGCTCATTACAAACACAGAAGGGAATGTCTTGACAGCATTTTCTGGAGGTCACAGGTATTCTCACAGCTGTAGACTAAGGTTCAGTTGTTTTAACAGAGCTGCTGAAGGATATGTGTCTTTATTGACCTATTTTGGTGCAGCTGGTTGTGGATTACTTGTCGGTTTCAATTTGCCATCAGTGGTGCAGCTGGCACACAGACTGTTCCTGCCACCTCATTATGAGCAAGTACAAAGCATTGTCAGATTTGTGTGATGCTTCTGGCAGACTGCAAAACATATTTGTCAGTTTAGATTGCCATGGCCTTTATTTATGGTATAGTCCTCTGGTGTTAAATTAATGCGTATGAATTGTATTAAGCCCTACATATATTTACTTGTTTGTTTTTCCACACATAGTTAAAAATATAAATATCGGCTATTTTGTTGTTTTTATGGAAAGAAGAGGATAAAAATGTGTTGCACGTTCTGTCCAAAACACATGAACAGGGCCCTTTTTAACCTGGAAGAATTCAAATAATCCTCTTGCTTGATCATAAGTATCTTTCTATATGTTTTTTTGTACTCTGACTGACATTGTGTGTTCTGCTTTTCAGGCCCAGCAGAGTAACCTGGTGCAGGTGGCCAGGAGCCTGGGCCGGGCTGTTCCTCTGTCCCCACAACTCATCTTTACTCCAACAGCCACAGTGACAGCTGTCCAATCAGAGAACTCTACGCAGGCTTCCTCACAGGTAGGTGCATTGGAAGTGCATTTTTATAAATTGTTAATCCCTCTGGTAAATGGATATTTAAATTCAGAGATACATCACACTTGGAAGCTTAGACAAAGTTGTTGCAGTGACTGGGAATCCTGCACTTGAGGTTGTAAAATTGCAATAACTGTACTGTTCTGGTATTAACAGTATAAAAAGTACATCTTTATTATTATTTTTTTAAAATAAACATATTTTTTTCACTGACTTTGTGAATCTGTTTGTGTCAGTCATGTCCCTTTTTATTCTGTCTCTCTAAGAATCAGGTCCAGAATCTGGCCATCCGTGGCCAGCAGGTGGCGACCACGTCCTCCTCTCAGACTCAGACCCTGCAGGCACTCAGTCTGAAGCAGAGCCCTGTGCCCATTCAGCCGGCTTCAATGATCAAGAATCCCAGCCAAGTAATGCAGGCCTCCACAGGAGGGAAAGCCAGCTCCTCCGACAGTTTGTCTGAAGCAGGGAAGAAGGGGGACAGCGCAGCAGTCACAGAAGTCCGAGCTATAAACATGAGTCGCAGTGTCACGGCTGTCAGTGCTCAGCCCCTGATCGCTCCAGGTAAGTGAAGTCTGCAACCCCACAGCCTGAACAGTTCAAATAATGCTGATGAGAGCAAGCCTCTTACCCATAAAACTAATCCTGGCAGTGCTTCAGGGCATCAGGGACAGTCATGAAAAGGGTCCAGACCCCCATAAAAATAAACTCACAAAGGCATTTTGTGTTCGGTCTATGTAGTAAAAATAATGACAATTAGCAATATGGGTATCAGTGGGAATCAATGAGTCATTAACTATGTTAATGCAACCTTCATTTAGAGACACTGGAGAGTGCAAAAAAATATTGTAAACATTAAAACAACCATCACCATTGCCTCACAGCAAGAAAGTCCTAGGTTCGAATCCCGACTGGGGCAGGGACTTTCTGTATGGAGTCTGGAGTTTGCTCCAGGTACTCCGGTTTCTCCCACCAGCAAAACATGGGCATAGCTTGATTCACCAGTCTGTGCACTGGCTCAGATCTGGAGTCGGTCCCCAGGCGCTGTACAGTGGCTGCCTACTGCTCCTGGTACTTAGGATGGGTCAAATGCAGAGAATGAATGTCCCTATGGGGATTAATTAAAGGATAACTTAACTTAATGTGTTGTGAGCATATTCTTCTTTGGCGGTAGTAACTTAAAGGCCCAGTATGTAACATTTCGGATGACCTATTGGCAGAAATGCAATATAATACTTTCAGGTGATTATTCACTAATTAAACATAGTTATGGATATCTACAGTGACTACAGATGCCGTGGGTCGCCCTCCATGGAGTCTGCCATGTTGAACTGCTATGTTTCTACTGTAGCCCACAAAGGACAAACCAAACACTGGCTGTAGATAGGGGCATTTTTTGCATGTTTGTGGCCACCTCCTTCATGCTTGGAAGGTGAGGGTGAAGCAAGAGAGGGGTGTGGTCTGCAGCTACACCGCTAAATGCTACTTAATCCTTCACACTTGACCTTTTAAAAACACAAGCAATGTTAGCTAATTATTTATTTATATTAATTTGACAGCTATTTCCATTCCTCTTTTTTTTTTAACACCTTTGCAGCACACAGCCTAGCAGCACTAACCAAATGTAAACAAACTAGTACTCTGTTTTTGATTCAGGAGCATGCTCATTACACAAAGGAACAATGGGCCTGTGTGAATTGAGGTGATGAAGTCTTTGTTTGATACAGTTATGAGTCAAACATTTTAGTGATCTAAAACTCTTGTCTGCATGAGGACCAGTGGTGTTGGCATCTTGTAGAGGTAGAGGAAAATATTTGTTTCCAGTAATATCTATTCTGTGTACGTCTGGAGTCCCACGGGTTACAGAACAAGTAGGATGGATGTGGAAATGTAAACAATCAGCTTTTTAGAGGCTTTGTGTTATTTATGTATAGACACTGTCACTCAATACTCCATAATAAGTTTGTTTTCATTTTTGTGGGCAGATAAATTGAACTTCCAAATTGCCTGCCAGCTGCTGCATGCTGTTTTTTTTTGTAGCAGATGTCCAGTTCAAACCTTAAAATAGACTTGGGGCTTCAGGCAGCTGTCATACATACAGTAGAAATATGCTCTCATCTTTATAGCAAGAGTAGATGGGGGGGAAAAATATTTTTTACACTTTGCGCTTTTAATAGCTTTCTCCGGGCTGTGAGAGTGACATGTCAGGGCCTGCATCACAAACCCATTCACTCACTAAAGGGGTGAAACCAGCCGTAGTAAAGACAGTGTGTTGGGTTGTGTCTGGAACAGTCGAGCTGCTTTGTGAATTAGAAAGGCCCACTGCCACGCGAGAGTCTTTTCTAAACCATTTATTGTGTAATTGAAAGTCAGCAGCTGTTTTTTTTTTTTTTTTTCTTAGTGTGTGGTTGTGAATATGCCAGCAGTACAAGCTAATTAAATCAAATTAAGTCCAGTTTGTTTGCCAGATAAGCGCCTTTTAGATGTATTATTTAATTTTCAAGAAGATCCTAATAAAACGTTTCATTTCCCAAAATAGTTTTTTTTTTTTAAGCAAGAACCTAAAAATATGTGTATGGATGTACGATATGTGTGTGTATATGTGCTTGGAGTGGTAACAGCAACTGTGTCTTCATGTGTGTACATGACTATAAACCTTACCTACACTGCAGTACACTGTCTTAATGCATGGTGTTGTTTTTATCAGGTGTGTGTGTGTGTGTGTGTGTGTGTGTGTGGGAAAGGGAGGGGGAGGGGGGGAGTAGGGATTATCTGAGCGTGTCAGTGCACAACTGTGTCTTGCTTTGTTGCAGTAATGGATTCACATAAAATGAAAGGGAGGATGGAAGCTGAAAATCTGGCTACATGCTGTCTGAAAAAATTAACATGGGTTGCCATAGCAGCAGGCCATGAGGGACAGGTGTGCACATGAGATGCTGGGGAGTTAATACACTGTGGATCAGGAGAAGGATGGCTGGCTGATGGGATTCAGATTGTGTTAAAAGCCTGGATTCAACTTGACTGTGACAGGGTCATTATGCACTTTTGTTTTCAAATATAAAATCAGAGCAAACCTTTTGTAATGACATGCCACTGTCTCTTGCAAATCCAATAATTTACCAACTGCTTCCATGATTGATGTTTAATGTCCTGTTCTGGCTAATAGATGAGGCAAACCAGTAATTTAGCTTCAGGAAACCAGAGATTTTGTTGGTGGTTAGTGTTGGGTGGTAAGTTTACACCCTTTCCATAACCTTGGCTAGACTTTAGATATAATTAGACACTGCATCTAATTAGTCAGTATTTTTAGTGTTATTAAAGGTACAGTGTTTAACATTTAGAAGGATCTATTGGCAGAAAATGTAATATAATATTACTAGGCATGTTAAAATAAGTTTATAATCACCTGATGATGTGTTGCAAATGAAACACATATTTACTTTATAAGTGTTAAACTGTCACTGTCTGTATCTGAGGGAACAACAAACATGGAAGTTGTGTGATGAATTGTGTTTGCTATTTTTGGTCATCAGTTTTCATCTCACTCTCCAAAGGATGGCAGATCACTTTAGAGCAATGTCTGTTACTGTGAACATTACAAGTTATTTCCCCTTGAATAAGAATTGGGCTGGAAACAAATGTTAGGCCGTCTGGCTTGTTGCAGTAAGCGTTTGTCATCACCTCCTCTTGGCAGGAAACAGCCAGCACCTTACTATAAAAAACACTGCAGGGAACCCCCAAAAGCACCATGCTCACAAATTGAAAGAGGAGATCTGCACAAAGTCTGTGTCTTGGCATATTTATGTGGCTGCTAACAACAGTATCAGTTGCCAGTTACACTTAGATATGAGTAAACCTTGGAAAAGTACCTCAGTTTAAAAATGAAAACCCAGACTTCATCTTTATGCAAAACTTAATGACTACTAATAATTAATCTACTTCTCTGTCTGTTGTCTATTGAAACTGACATTCAGTGTTTCACATCTCTTTTTGTTGGTCTGAAACTACAGCCACACTGTGCATTATACAGATAATAAAATACTGAGCTATGTGATTTCATTTTCTCCTCGCAAGGCTGCCATTGTGTTTTACCTCAAACATGACTCAACAGTCTGTAAACCAATCTGGAAATGAATTAATTTAGCTAGTGTTCACTTAATGCTAATGCCTACTTGATAAAGTGAAAAGCCTGGTTTTTAAGTGAGAAAAGATGGCGTAAGGCCTGCTGTTGCTCTGTTGTTTTGGGTCAGAATGTGTTTCATGAAAGCAAGCCAAAGCGTCAGCCAGTGAGAATGTGGAAACTCAGGGATTTTCCAGGGGCTGGTGCTACAAACTCATCAGCGATGTATACTGTCTTCAACCTCAGGACATTGTGCAACAACACACAGATAGCGTAAGAGGTCTACAAACATTCATAATTTAGGCCGAGTGGTGGAGTTGAATGTGCATGTGTGTGCATGTGTGGGTGTGAGCCTGAGTCATTCCGGTCCTTAATCCTAAGACCTTGAGGGGGAATAGAATTTAAATGAATTCCCTTGTCTTCCTTTTCTTCCAAGACCTCTCTCTGTTCCTCATTAGGGGCTTGAGAAAGTTGTCAGGAATCATGGGGAGGGTTGGTTGTATCCGGTGTGCACTGATTTAGAAATCCCCCTCCTTCGCTCGGACTGAGGAAATCTCTTGCTACCTTATGATTCAGTGAGATTGAAAAAGGGTCAGGTGAATTTCCATTTATTAAGTAGTGTGTAGGGTATTGCTGCAGTGAGGGTATATCTTGGTTTTAATGTGAATTACATTGAGAAAAAGGCAAAAAAGTTTTCCATGACAGAATATGAGAGATTCCTTCCTTTTTATAGTTAAATGTCTGTTTATTTGTAGCATAACTTCATTGAATAGAAGTTGAGACCATTCAACCCTTTGGCGCAGCTGGACATTTTGGCTGTTTTCATCTGCTAGACAACTACACGTGATACAGACAAAAAGACAGCATACACTGGCCAACATAAACCCTGCCATACATACTCTTCAATTTAAAAAATATATATAAAGAACAGTTTGCGTTGACGGAATTTGTCTGACCTAATAATCGATTGTTTTTACACCCATGAGCGTAGTTGCTGAACTGATGGATTTTATTATCCCTTGAAGTGTCGGTTTGAATTGATTTTCAGGCATGAATCATCTTAACAGGCTAACATCTTTGATTATCACGCTGCTAGCTGTATCCACCCATCCCAGGCTCACACCCACCCTGAACATTGCAAATATTAAATGACGGCCTTCCCCTGTGCGCCACAGCTAATCACCACATGGGTTTGTGGGTTCCACTGTGTCTTACCATGTGAAAAAGAAAACACTTCTCAGCAGATCCTGTAGCATTAAAGGGACTAATGACATGCAAACTCTGCTGGATAGAAACATCTATATATTCCACAGCAGGGTACAGACTGCGGTTAGTGCCTCACAGGGAAACTTTGAAACCAGATGGAGCCTATCCCACACAAAACATCATGAAAAGAACAGAGGGGAGGAGGAGGCTGGGGGCAAGGGGGATTTGAGACAAATGCTGATGTACTTGGCAGTTTTCCATGCTTGGAGTTATTGGCGGGGGGGGGAGGGGGGGGGTTGTTATTAACATCATCAAAACACACATCCATGTTCACACAGCTCATACAGCAGAAGCTACTGTACACTACTGTGATGCAGGAGTAGCTCATTTCTTGTCTGGGTTTGAGTAATAAGTGAGTCAATTAATCCTTATTGTTTCCTGGTAGAGTTGTTGGAGATCAAAGAGGCAGCTGAGGGGTTCGGACCTGCTGACTCAACATTAACTCTGTAAAGAGTGTCATGGACAGTTGGCAAGTTGGCTCTGCAGTTCGTTGCTCCTGAGGCATTCCTAATATTAGACTAGCCTCGGGCTACTTCCGCTGAACACTCTCCCACTCACACATGATCTCACAATGCAAGATTGATGTGCTGTGTCTTGGGCTTTGGGGCGCGTTATGAGCCCAGGATGTCTTTTTACCCACAACAGCACTGACAGGTGGTGACAGGCCATTTTGAAACGATTTGTGAGTAATGGTCAGACCAAAACTGCAACAGTGGGCCTCTTTGTGCACCTTTCAACAAGCCCCTTAATATTACATCCTGTCAACAAGGGGCACACAGGTGAAGGGAATGCTGTAAAACAAGCTCGTTTGTGCAGACGTCTACATTTCTCAGTGCTCTTGGTATACACTAAGTTTGGAGAAGTTGTGACTGTGCATAAAATAAAAACTGCTTGTGGTTTGTAACAATTGCAAAATATTTCTAAATTATGTTATAAAAGACGATAATGTTTGGTAAGATTGCAGCATGCAATGTGCATTGCGTAATCTTTGTTGGACACTAGGTCTGCCATTATTACTTACTTACTTTTTTTTTGGGCCTTTTTATCGCCTTTCTTTGTTAGGGACAGCGGAAGATAGACAGGAAAGGGGGGCAGAGAGTGGCAATGACACGCAGCAAAGGGCCGCAGGTCAGATTCGAACCCTGGGCCGCTGCAGCAAGGACTTAGCCTCAGCACATGGGTCGCCAGCTCTACCGACTGAGCTGACCGGGCGCCCCCGACTTAATGACTTGATTAAACAATTAATGCAGGTGGCATCGCCTCACACCAAGAAGGTTCTGGGACCTTTCTGTGTGGAGGTTGCATGTTCTCCTGTCAGTCTGTGTGTGTTCCTCCAGTTTCCTCCCACAGCCCAAAGAGATGCAACTTAATAGGTTAATTGGTGACTCTAAATTGCCCATTGGTGTGAGTGTGAATGGTTGTTTGTCTCTATGTGTCAGCCCTGTGATAAACTGGGGACTGGGATAGGTTCCAGCCATCCGCGACCCTGCAAAGGTTATAATGGATGGTACGGACACTTGTTGCAGATTGATTTTCTGGTGATTGATTAATGTAATAATTGACTTAGTTTCAGCGCAATTCAGTTAAAAATGATCTAATTACAGTGACTAATATCTTTCAATCTAATCTCCTCTAAAACCACCTTTTTTATTGTATGAATAAAAGCATTAACTGCTGTTCTATAAATGTTCTCAGTGTTTTCTCTGTGGCCAAAGCAGAGACACTAGAGTCTTTAGTATTCAGTGGCTAGTGAACTTGGGACACAACACAAGAATTTATGAATTTATACATTTTAAAAATAAATGTTGTTCTTATTCCAGCATACACACAGATTCAGCCCCACTCCCTGGTTCAGCAGCACAAGCAGCAGCAGCAGCAGCAGCAGCAGCAGTTTGTGGTCCATCAGAGTCAAGGTTCCCAGAGGGCCGCAGGCCAGCTGCTGCAGACGGCCTCCATTCAACCGTCACAGCACCCTGTCCCTGTACTGCCCAAACCTGCTCCAAACCAACCCTCCACGCCCAGCCAGCAGGCCACCATCTTCCACTCTACCATCAGCCCCCACGCCCTCCACTCCTCCCTCAACCATGCCAAAGCTCAGCCAGTCCAGCTCACTGCCATCAACCTACAAATACAGCCAACAGTGAGTACAGCTACACACACCAAGGTCTTAAACAAATGTGCATTTGAATAAATCAGGGTTTTTTTTTTTAGTTAAATCAGTGATACGGTTAAAACCTTCGGCAGGACTGAAAACCGTAGATGGATTATGTGTAAAAGCAGGCCAGGGGGTGTCAAGTTAATGGCTGTGTTTACATCTAGCTCAGATCAAACACCGTGGACCATGTTTTGACAGGTACTGTTATTATCTGGTCTCTCAGGAATGTATTTTGTGTTATCATGTGCAAAAAATGTTTGGACATTTTGTACACACAATCGTGGTTTGCATATGATGAATCCTGACTTGGTGATCCCCTGACTTTTCTTCTAGCGCCACCATGAGCGTGACATTTGAGTTTTTGAGTCACAGCGGTTGGATAAATTGCCATAAAAGGTTCTACACACATTTAAGGCACCCTCGGGATACATTCTACTCACTTTGGTGGTACCCTGAATAGTCCCACTATTAAAACAGTTGATTTCCTGAAATAAACGTGGAACATTTCTAATGCATCTAGAAGATATATGTAGGAGGTTATCTCTTTCTCAGAGTAACATATTACACATTGTTTCCAGCTCGCATGATGGATCTGATTCTCTCTTATTTTTTTTTGTGTCCTCCATTTGTTTCTAATAGGACATGACTTTCTGTCCTAACTTTATTAAGTTGTTCACTGTAGTAACCAGCAAAACAAAAACTACTGCTCCAACAACACCCACCAAAATCCTATTTATACTCCAAGACATACATGTTGAAAAAACACAGGATCTTCTGAGTTTGGGATTCCTGGTGTAATATTTTCCCACTGGTGTGATATTTTCCAAGTCTAATGGTTTTTAGTTTTTGAGTCACTGACATTAAAAGTACTAACAGACCCCTGATCTGTCTTTTTAACACTGTCTCAGATGTACTTTCTCACATTCTCCCCCTCTACCTTTTTGTTCCCAATGCACATCTTAGGCCTCTCGACTGCTTCAGGACTGTAAAGATAAGCCAACATCACTTGTGGTCAGAGAGACGTGTCCAACCCCCAGCACACATCAACAGCAGCCGCAACAACAACAACAACAACAACAGCAACAGCAGCAGCAACAACAGCAACAACCTGCACCTGCGCCTTTGCCATCGCAACCCTCCAAGCCCGTAGAGCAGCCCAAGGTCAACCCATCCACGCCAGCTGTTCAGCCACAAGGTAATGATTCAGCATCACTTTCTAAGTTGCTAAATTACTCTCTAAAGAGTACGTTTTGGTAAATAAACTCTGTAACCAATTAGCCACTGGGCCAGTTTAAAAAAAATTAATCGCAACTTGTCACCTTGATGCAGAAAATGTACCATTGTAATCTGCTCTGCACTCTTTGAATTCACCAACTTTTTCAGTCTTCAGCGGAGGAAAAGAAAATCAATGCTGATGTTTACTTGTAATTCAGACCATGTTGTGTCTGCAGCACATTTAGTTTCACTATTCTTTGTGTCTTATTGCTTTGTTGTCGATTCTGTGATGGCCTTGTGCTGTAGCCCAAAAGCTCACCTGATACCCACAATCCACTTAGTGCTGTGTAGTGCACAAACATTTAAACTCACAACAGAAAAGCCCTGTAGGTCACTGAAAACCCTATTTTATTTAACAGAGGAACTATTGAATGAATACAGTCACATAACCAGACTCATAATGGACATTAATCGTTATTACTTTGTTGCCTGTAAATTACATTGGAGACATTTAAGCACACTATTTCCTGTTAATAATGTTAGATTGTACAGGGGAGCAGGCTAAGTAAATGGTAAGTTGATGCAAGACTGAGTTGGAAGTGTCTTCAATGACACATTAAAAAACATGCATGCGTGTTGATGTACATGTTGCTTGTGGGGATGGGACCTATGTTTCTCACTTACTGAACAACTTTTGTCCATTATACCAGTGGTTCTCAAACTTCTTGGTGTCAAGGATCCCCAAACTGATACACATCAGGCCTCAGACTCATATTTGATAAGATTCCATCTCAGGGATTCGTGTCTGATAACACTATAACATTATAACAGTTATTCCATAAAGAAGCAAAGTTTCTACACTTTGGACAAACAGTTTGAAAATGTGGGGAGACTGTAAAGAGCTTTTTTTCCTTACGTTATAATCCAATTAAAAAGCTTTTAGCTGCATGTATCAAGAAAATCCCAGGTTTGTTGAATCATCAGTAAAATCGTATTTTCATTTTGCTGCATTTTCTGCTTATTGTGCACAGTTTGTCAGCCAGGTGATTTAGATAAAAGGGATAAAGCGGTATCGGATTGATTTCGCTCACGGTTAGTAGCTCTGAGATAGTTTAAGTGCTTGATCGTACAGCAGCTGCACTCGTCTTGCTGAGCACAGATGTATTGGGGTGTTTTTTAGAAAACGTTGACATGGATCAGTTTCTATGGTGATATTTTTTCTTAAATGGTTGGAAATAGTGCTAATTCTGTGTTTTTTGTAAAATGAAACATTTCTGTGGACCACAAATTGCTGTTTATGGGCGGTGAGTTGGGTGTGATGTGCCGTGGAGGTGCACTGCTCACCACCAGAGCAGGAAACTATTTCTGTAATCCACCGCCTGCAGGCGCTGATGAAGATGGGTTTCAGCTTCTTCTTTTTTTACTTTAGGAAAATGTAACATTTAAGAAAAGAGCCTCCAGAGAATCAGTTTTTCAGTCAGTGTGGCTCATTGAGTGTACAAGGTTATCGGTTCTTCAGCATTGCTCTCTGCTAACAGTCTGTCACTTCTCTTTGAAGTATTTAAAGCGAAGAGTAGCAGGCATTACATTAATAACACACTGATTAATAGCACACACATTACAGAGTATATAGACTGCAGCCCAATGCTACACCCCAGAGCTCTGAGTACTCTGAGGTCATGTGCTTTGTATTTTTTCTGGGTATTTATGGTTCCTTTCAGTTTTATTTTAAATTTATTATTATTTCAGACAAACAGTGACACTGTGAGAGAGAAAAAAAACCACAGCACTCCTTATTAATATGACAATCTTTCTACTGTTTACCTCACGATCGTCACAACAAAATATAAAATGACATCTGAGGGTTGTAAGACCGTCTCATAATAGCATCACCACCTAATGTGTTCCCACTCAACCCATACGTTGGGCTCCTCTCGGCTCTGGGAACAGTTTTGCATGTATGAAACCTCCATAGTTCAAATTCATAATACAAGGAATAATAATAGACAGTTTGAGGTGTCCTGTCAAGGGTTTTACAGACTGTTATGATGGTGGTTTATGGGGGGGTGCTTTTTAGGTTCCAGTAATTTGTCCCGTTGCCCACATGGTGAGTAGCAGCACCAGCTTTCTCACGACATCCGTGATTTAAACTCATGGATCTGTTGCTCACACTGGACTTCCTGGATCCTCTCTCATCCTCTCACCGCCTCCACGAGCGCTACAACACGCCCCCACCAACTCAGCATCTATTTTATTTTGAACACAATGCTGTTTTCAGTCTGAACGCTGTCTCTTGGCTCCACCACAATGTGTTGCAGGCAGTGTGGAGGCAGCGCCGTATGTGCAATTAAAATGTACAAAACTTATGATGTAACACATAAATAAATCAAATAGAATATGCATAAATGATATAAACACTTAATTAATTACACACTTTTATAAGAATTCTACAGTTAGAGAGCTTTTTCATGTCTGGTCAAAGTTTCCTCAGAGGGTGCACAGATGAGGGACTTGGACTCAGGACCTGAAATGTCTTTCTGTGCCCCTGCTGGAAACATGCGCTCACGTTTATTCGTCACTTTAGTAGATTGTAGTTTCATTAGATTATTTATGGGCGTATTCAATGTTAGACTGAAGCTGGAGACATTCTTGTAGCCCACGGTTGAAACACAGCCATGCAGCAGCAGCAGCAGCAGCAGCCGTGGTCGCTGCTGTGGGAGGAAACAGGGAGGCGGATCCTGGATTAAAAGCGTTTTCTTTTGCGGGTCTGAAGCGGCGCTGCAGCGACTCTCAGTCTCAAACGACAGCGGCAGGTCGGTGTGCGTGTCCCCGTCGGATCGGTACAACAACAAACAAACAAAACCGCACATGTTTTCTCTCTGAAACGCAGCGGAAGTTGGTGCGGTAAGGAAACTTATGCGCGTTCAGTGCTGGCTGCTTTTTAAGATGACTAAGCACTGATGTTTACTTTCGCTTCTGCGGGGTTTAGTTAAAAGGCGAGGCGTCGTTGTGATGATCGGAGCGAGACATGATGGATTTACTGTTTGTTATTGATGGACAGTGTGCCAGTAGGTCAAATGTTCTGCTATTATTAGACTGAGGACATCAGAAAAGTTATTTAAATGAGCGGCAGGCAGGTGGATAAGACTGGATACTGTTTTGCATGTAGATGGCTGTAATGTGATAATTATGTGTGTGTGGTTTGAATAATATAAATTCATAATGCATAGTTAAGTATTTGATGTATAAGTGTTATAATCTGTGATTGAATACAGAAAAAAAGTCCAAGATGATGGCTTTAATCAGCCTAAGACCCCCAGATATTCTGTTTACTTTCATATATAACAAGGAAAAGTACCAAATATTCAGATTTGAGAAGAGTGGTTCAGAAAATGTTTGGCATTTTTGATTAAGGATGGCTGATTATTTTTCTTGATTCATTCTTTTGCTTTTAAAATGTCACAAAACTGTGACAAATGCCCAGTGACATTATCCAGAGACCAAATTGACATTTCCAAATCCCCCAAAATATTCAGTTCACAATCACATATGAGAAGCAAAAGCATCAAATCCTCACATTCAAGAAGCTGTAGGGAGAATATTTGGCATTTGCTACTGGAAAAATGACAGAAATGATTGATCTGCTACTCTGTTTCTCAGCTCTAATATAATTCAGACTCAACCCACTAGTGACCGGCTCTGATATATTCATTTCTTGGTCAGGAGGGGGCTCAACCAAGAGGCCAAGCACTGCACCTGGGACCCCACCTCCAGCCATGACCTCAGGAAATGAGAGCGAGGCGCCCACCGTGACGGGCAGCACGCCGCAGAACGGAGAGAACAAACCGCCCCAGGCCATCGTCAAGCCCCAGGTCCTCACACATGTCATCGAAGGCTTTGTCATTCAGGAGGGGGCCGAGCCGTTCCCCGTGTGCGTAAGTGCCCGATCTGAGCTCCACTAGCAGCGAGACGTGATAAACAACCCAGAGCCAGCACACTCTCCAGTGTACTCGCCTGCAGGGAGCTGTCAGTAGGCAAACACAAACCCTCTGTTACTACTAGTAGTGACAGCTCACAGCTTCTGCTTGATTCAGTCTTTAATTATAGTCAGGTCAGACTCTGTAGCTGAAAGAATACAAGCGGAAGAAGATGTGTAATGAGCTGCACATCGCAGCATCTCCATCCCTCCTTTAATCTGTCATCTGTTAAATTCATGTTCTTATATCTTTATATTGTTTGTCTGGTGTATCTGTATGCCTGACACTGACATTTGTATCAGCCGGTCTTTATTAACCACTAAAAACATTTTTGTTAAGGTGCCACATGATGTGCTTGTTGTAATTTCTATGCTTGGGGCTCACTGCCTCCTACTGGAAAGTTGGTGTAAATGCTCAGTATATTTACATGCATATATGGATGAATAAGCACAAGAAATTAATATTAATACACAGCACTGATATGGTTTATTTTTATTTTTATTTCTTGAATAGGGCTGTACTTAATTAATGTTTTTATTATTGATTGTTTGTGTTTATTTTTTCTATGAATGGATTACGTGTTTATCCTGTGAAATATCAAAAATTACAAATGTGTTCTAAGTTCATAGTGACGACTTTAAATTACTAATTTTTTTCTCTGAAAATGGAGAATAGCTGGAAGTCTTCACATCTGAGAGTGAATTTTCTGCTGATTGACTAATTATTAATTATTTAACCAGTATCAGCATTATTGAATCCACATCCCTTATTTTGCCAACAATGTCTTCAGCAGTAGCTCAAAAATGAAACTTGAAGACTAGACTTAAGTTGGAAAAGACTAAATTCCTTCAGTGATCATCAAAATATCATGCAAACCAAGAGTTAAATAGTGAAAGTGTCTGCCCTCACCTCATTTTATTTCATCCCATCTAATAAATACTACAGCAATGTATCACAAGTTGCAGGATATACGCATTCTAAGTAGGCTTTGCATTTAATATTGTCGTAATCACAACTATTGCTTTATTCCTGGAGCATGTGTGGTTTTATTTTGTTAGATTTGTAAACATTTTCTGCCTGTCCCCAGGTGGAGCGTCTGCCCATTCTTATCGACAGCCCAAAGAAGCTGGATCATCAGCTCTCTTCAGACCCCGACAAAACCCCGGTCAGCAACGCAGCAAACTCCGACTCAGAGCCTGAGGACATGAACCCGCCAGGTGAGACAAAAAGTGTTAGACAAGTACATCGGTGTGTGTGTGTGTGTGTGTGTGTGTGTGTCGGTCGCACTGTGCTGCTGCTCATTAAACTCGGGATGCACCGGTCCGACTTCTCTCTGAGGCTTGTTAAATTTTTATTCACGCTGTTTATAAGGGCCATGAAATGGACACAGCATCACGTTCTGAACACACACGCAGGTACACAGTAGGGTTAATGGTGATAGATACAGACCTGACGAACAGCTCTGAGCTGCTGTGATAAACGATGACGAGAACCAGCGCTGCACTTACTCTCGTCTGCATGTCGACACAGGATAGGTTGCCCTCGGCATAATTACATGCTTCTACATCTCTTCACCAAACCACTTAACCTTTCTGTGGCTTTGTCTTTTCCCTGTTACACTGTTTTTTACACTCTAGTTGCTAAAAGTTTGTACAACACAAGTCCTTGTTTCCTAGAACATTATGTAGAGTGACTGCAGAAGTCATTAGTAACACGTTTGGTTTCTCAGTAAAGGCTTATTTCTACCTTCACACTTAAATGAAACGGAAAGGAAGTGGCGAGGTATCAGTAGCTTTATGCACATTAGCTAACCACGGTAAATAAACAAAGTGGAACAGAAAACTTCAACTTCATATAAATCAGTGACAATATTGTGTGAAAAATCAACTCAATTTTACAGGTTTAATTGAAAAAGCTTTAGTTTATCCAAGTGTATTGAATATGCTGATTATTAAATAAGTTTTTTAACATTCAGTATCTGTGTGTGTATATGCTGTTTCCCCTCCTACAGAAAAAGAGCAAGAACCCAAGCTGACCTGTGAATACTGTGGCTGGGTTGACTTTGCCTACACGTTCAAAGGCTCTAAAAGATTCTGCTCAATGGTTTGTGCAAAGAGGCAAGTCACCTTTTTTAGTTTTATGTTATTTTCATTTAAACAAGTTCTGTTGTGTGCAAAAGGAAAAGCTCTAATAGTGCATCTCTCTGGACAGGTACAATGTGGGCTGTACGAAGCGGATAGGCCTTTTCCGACCAGAGAGGAGTAAACCAACAAACCGCTGGCGTAGAAGATCTCAGGGCCGCCCCAGTATAGAGGCAAAGAAGCAGGTACAGAAACACACACACACACACACACACACACACACACACACACACACACACACACACACACCTTCAGTGTTGTAAAACTTCCTCATCAACACTTTACTGCCTATCACATACTGCTTCCACTGCACATTTTATGCCCTGCACTTTTCACGCCTCGTGCTTTTCAATGAACTTAGGCATCATTTGTGTCAGTGCCTGATTATCTCCTTCTGTCTTTAAAGGGTCATTAAGTACTCTATGGTCTCTGTCAACGTTTATTGGTGACCAGTAGGAATAGAGAAGCATTAGTAGAGATTTTCTGCCTCCTGCACAAGTTATATAGCTGTCAAAAACAACTGGATTTGCTGCTTATCTGAAACTGAGACTGATTCGAAACCTGTAGTGACACAATATAGTTAAGTTTTTACTGTAGACGTAATTAGTTTTGATAATAAAAGCTGAAGTTCTACAGAAATATACAGGTAATACTGTATATCACAATAATTAATATTAAAAAAGGTTTGGATTTTTGGCTCAAGAACAGTCTTTTTAGGTTTTATAGCCAAAATGTTTTGAGTTATGTAATGCCTTTAGGGTTGGGTCCTGGACCTCCAGTGGGGGGTGCTTTTGTTTTATAATCCAGAGGGTTCAGCACCTGACAAAGTAATTTTCGAGGCATTGGTATCGATCCAATAACCCTATCAACTCCTTGCAGGTATATTTTACTCATTTGAAGCAATTGCACAGTATAAATCTTACTTATTACCCCTTTTAATCGTTGCTGTATCTGGTACAGCATCCCGGCAGTGTTTTTACTGATGAACCATTCATTTCTCAAATGCCGAGCCTTGACGTCAAGTCTGCCAATTTTACTTTTCAGAAGCTGTCCCCCTCCCCGCAGCAGACTCAGGGCGGCTCTGTATCTTCACCGCATCCCTCGCAGCCCAGTCAGGAGGAGTCTAGCCCGTGTTCGGACATGTCCAGCTACGAGGAGCCGCCGTCTCCCCTGTCAGCCGCCAGCTCGGGACACCTGGCCCCCGCTCCAGCCCCAGCTCAGGTCCCCGTCCACCGGTATCCGAGCAGGGCCTCGGTCCAGGAGAGCTGCGCTGAGAGAGACACACCTTCGCACTGTCAGCGCTTCTTACCCAACGACCCCACCAACTGGAATGTGGAGGAAGTTTACGAGTTCATCCGTTCACTGCCAGGTCAGTTGTGTGTAAACACACACATAAAGCATTTCACACTGACTCTTATGAATCCTGTTTTTAGCGTGACTAACTGCAGCTCGTTCCTCTCCCTCTGCTGTTCGCGCAGGTTGTCAGGAGATAGCAGACGAGTTTCGCTCTCAGGAGATCGATGGACAGGCCTTGCTTCTGTTAAAGGAGGACCATCTCATGAGCACCATGAACATTAAACTGGGACCCGCACTCAAGATCTTTGCACGCATCAACATGCTCAAAGACTCTTAGCAGGAAAGAGTGTTTGTGTGTTGCACATTGATCTCTGTGTGTTTGTGTGTGTGTGTGTTTGTGTGTGTTGTGTGTGTGTGTGTGTGTGTGTGTGTGTGTGTGTGTGAAAGAGAAAGGCATATAAGAGAAAGGCAGTGTAAAACTGGCCAAGGGCAAATTATGCGTCATCGTAGCACTGACAGCACAGACTGACTGCACTATGACCCCGCCTTCTCCCCACTACTGGACTGGTTCCATTGATAGAGAATTTAACTTTAGCTGGCACTCATATTCACCTGCATCTGCCCAATCACCATGTGACCATTGCTAGTCACAGGACTGATGGTGGTTACATTAGAGTTTCTGTTTGAGGACTGGAAGCTGTTGGTCTGTGTTTTCATGCACTCACAGCAGTTCTGTGCTAGTTAGAAACAATGTAGGCGATCTTCATCGATCTGTGATCTGTGCCAAATTACAAAATGCTGATTCACACATTAAATGAGTGAATATATTTGATTTACACCTGGTGTTAACATGCAAGTCGTATCTGGATAAAGAACAACACAGGGCTGATTCGAATCAACAGGGAGAGAGAGAAACAAAGGGGGTGTGTGTGTGTGTGTGTGTGTGTGTGTGTGTGTGTGTGTGTGTGTGTGTGTGTGTGTGTGTGTGTGTGTGTGTGTGTGTGTGTGTGTGTGTGTGTGTGTGTGTGTGTGTGTGTGTGTGTGTGCAGATTAAAGTAGTTTATGAGTAAACACTAGAGAAAGGCTTGCTTTGCCTCCCTGTCTCATGAACTTCTTCAGAGCGCACATTTTCCCCCTCATATAAACACCGGACCGGAGTGGTTCCTCCACGTTGTCCTCACTGAAGCTTTGAGGGCCCAAAAAATGATATTCAGGGCAGCTCTAGAACAGCTCATGTTGACACTGGGTGTAAGTACATGCAGAACATTGTGATCCGATCTCAGCCAGGAGTAAACACCATCCATCCTGTACTTTTTGGGGCAATTTATGCTTTTATTCCAGAGTCAATAGTAGAGAGGAAATGAGGGGAGAGATGTGGTGAACAACATGCAACAAAGGACATTGTAGTTCTTGTTGTTGGGTTGATTAAACCCCAGTTTTGTCTCTTCTTGCCGTCTCAAGATGTTGGTCAAAAAGCTGCAGATCGCCTCACTCTGTAGAGGAAAAGTGAGTCGAGCCCCTACAGCGGCATTGCTTCCCTTCACCTGCGACGTGAAAGCTGAGATCTGATCATAATGCAGGCAGAATTGAGATTACAAGAGCTCTTATTAATAAAGAGGTGTAGATGCAAAGGCCTTTCATGAAACGTCATTATCCATTATCCAGATACAGATTCCATGATAATAGCAGATGTAAATGGGGTCTCGCCTTCAGTCAGAGGATAAAATGAAACTGTAGAAGTTTAAAGGAGAAACAGAGGAGAATAAAGTTGAATTAAGTGTTCACTGCGCTACCTGATCAGTTGTGCTCAGGTTGGGTCATACTGCAGCACAGTCGTGACTGAACTGAGGCATTGAGACAACCATGAGTGATGTCTGAATTCATTATTTTATTATTAGAGATGTTTTTTTGTACAGGTTTGTTAGCGTGTGAAAGAGAGAGAGAAAATGGGCTGTATGTGTGGCTGGGAACAGAAGATTGCATTCATTAATTTGCTCATTTTCATTCAGTAGATGCTCCTTTTGCCTTTTCCCACAATAAGACTCTCACAGCTCTCGAATACAAAGCCTGAATGCAGAATAAAACGTTTAAGTAGCTTCTTTTTGTGACATTGATTTCTCTTTCATGAGGAACTCGCCAGTTTTCTCCTGTAGATTGAAACTGCTTACAAATGATTTATTTTTTTTGCTGCTTTTTCCGAATGATTTACTAAAATATGACATTGATTTACTGTCTCAGTTTTTATAGGACGACACTAAGTTATCCGAGGAACAATTCGGGTATGCTGCCCTGCTTTTGGCACTTATTTTCCTTTTTTTTGCTTTAATATTATAAGATACTCCATCTAGAGTGAAAGTGGCATTTGTGCAGCACTGCAAGTTTATGTGTACATAGCAGCTCAAGTGAGGGAAAAGACTGAAACTAAGTGTGAAACTGTCATTTATTTTAAGTTATCCATGTTATTTTAAAAACAGAAATTTAATGATGTTATTTTGAAATATGCAAATGTATAAATATCATGGGCTAGGAGTTGTTTTTTTAATGGTTTTTTTTCTAATGAAAATATGATCATATCTATTTGTGTTTTGTGGCTGTGATGGAAGGTCAACTTTTTTAGATAAGGCTTTGTCAAATGCTTGTATTTATCAAAACAGTTTGTTACACAACATTTTGCAATTATAAATAATTTGCAATACAGTTCTGTTTAATTACATTTTTGTGTTTTGTGGATAATATTACAGTATAGTTACAGTATAATATTGCTGTTTCAGTGCCTCCAAAGGCATTCAAAGTTCCCGGTTTATGGAAACCAGTAATCCAAAACTAAACAAAAACAAAGATATCCATTAGTTTAGAATGATATAAAAGACAACGAAGCAACACATTGTTAAATTTGTGCGTCAAGAACCACCATATATTTCCCAGTTTGTCATTAAAGTTGATGATTTATTTTATAATGGTCAACAAATCAACAAGCAATTTCAGCACTAATAATGACTAAATAAGATACAATAATCTTTATTAAATTATTACTAAAGGATGTACAACCACTTTACTAAAACAATTACAAGACAGCGTAATGTAAAATGAATGTAGAACTGAATCTATAAATCAATCTATAATCAGAATCAGAAATACTTTATTGATCCCCAGGGGGAAATTTGTTCACCACAGTTGTTCCACTCACATGACGGTAAAGAATAGTATTTATATACAATATTTAACACAGTATACACAATAGAAATGAATGTATAGGCATCTACATATAGTAATATATACAAAGTAAATGTAAATCATAACATAAGTGTTTCCATATTCCACAGTATTGCTGGCAGAAATGAAATAAATAGTAATGAGTTTTAAGATTGCAGAAGTAAAGAGAGGGGATGTCTTTTAAACGCTAAAGAGATTTTAGAAACAATTGTAGTTGAGTTGAACTGCTGTATAAATAATACCTAGAAAAATACAATGTAAACAGTATTTATTTAAGGGGTTTGGAGTGTTTTCTACACACTGTTCACTGTTCATCCTCTGTACAGTAGTTTACTCGACGTTCCTGGTTGATGAGGAAACATTTCGAGCTGTATGTCTCAAACAATGGGACACTGACAGAAAACACACCGGACACTTGTTATTGTGTTGCCACTGAACTACAATGGCGGAAGAGGTGTGTCAGCTGCGGTGTTTGTAGCTGTTGGTACAGTCGGAGGGGCGGAGAGGAGCACACACGCTTACTGACACGCCCATTGTTTTGATTTGAGAACGGGACAAACCAAATGAATCCGTCGTCTTTTTCTGTATTAAATATCGAAATGAGTGAGCTGCCTCGCAGTGTTAACATCTAATACATTTTATAAGCAGATTCTGTATCACGATACGGTCGCACACACAGCTTTAGATCTCACTTTTAATCGATAACACAGTCAGTCACATTTAAACTCCCCCCATAACTCTGTTGGAGTGGTTTCGCCCAGGTTTGAACTGGAACGTTGACGTTGTTGCTGTACGCATCTTTTAAACGGTGGAACGATACATTGTTACCAGTCAGCGAATGTACGTCATCTTTTAACAACGCCACCGAAATACCGACAACAGGTAAGTTAGCCTCTGTAGCCTTTATTTATTATATTGTCATTTATGTATTTTTAAATTGTGTTTTAACTCATTTGTTGGCAGCTGTATTTACAGTGTCTGCTACTTTATGCTAACGTTACTCCACTACTATTATTTGATTACTTTACTGCTAGTTACTTTAAAGTTTCAGATTAGTTAAGAATAGAAAATATAATCAACAAATACGATGAATTTAAGTTAGAGGTATTTAAAGTTAATTCAAATTAGCCCCACCTTTATATATATATATATATATATATGAAGGCATTAGTAATTATAATACCATAATAAAACATTTATGTAGCTACATAATTGTGAAATGAGTCATTCTGTATAACTCATTTTACTTTTGGTACCATTTACATTACATGTAAAACTTTAAACTTTACAGAATACTGTGGTATTTATGATTTCAGGACTTCCACCACTGCTTTATTTTGGATTGTAAAATCACTTTGTGTGTACATTTGATCAATTGTAATATATTAAGGGCTTCAACTAAGAGTTATTTTCACTGTTGATTAGTCTCAATTAATCATGTTGTCTATTAATTGCTAGACAAAGTGAAAAATGCCTGTCATAAGTATTTCCCACAGCCTGAGGTGATGTAGTCAGATGTCTTGTTTTATTTGACCAGCAGTCCAAAACCCAAAGAGACTCAGTCGACTAACAAACGACAAAGAAAAGCAGTAAAAAACTATCATGTCTGGCATTTCTGAGTAATTTTCTGTCATTTGAGTAATTGCGTAATCTACAAGTAATTGCAGCTCTTTCATATTTTTTTATTGGACACATATAATAAGAAATAAAATGACCAATTTTACCAAGCTCTGTTGAATTTATCCGTCACCGTGTAATTTAAATGTCTAGACTGTTACCGAAATGCCAAATCAAAGGGACGAGGCTGCTGAAGATTCCCCTGCTGACCTTCCCTGTCTGGAAAAACTTGACTCTCCTACGGGTAAGAAGCTTTCTTACAGCAGTTATTGTTTTCAGGCACGTTCTGGGAGCATTAGTAATTGAATTATTACCACCATGGCAGTTTTAATTATCTGTGGGTGTGTGTGTGTGTCCTGTCTGTGGTGTCAGGGAGCCCACCCACCGCCTCATTATCCAGTCTGATGGAGCTGGAAAATTGTGTTTCCAATCTGAGCCTCGCGCATGAGATAGTGGTGAACAGAGACTTCTGCTTCAAACCCCAGAGCCCTTCCACAGACAGGCAAGAAAAAACACTCCACCACGGCTTAAGTGACCTTGGTTATTCTTCCAAAATTAATTAAGAGTTTAGTCTCCTTTTGAGCTGCTTTTGAACTGTTTTTTTTCCCTTCTGTAGCCTGGAGGGCAGAGTGACAGAGATTGTTCATCGAGCATTTTGGGACAGTCTTCAAGAGCAGCTCAACAGTGATCCTCCGAACTACAACCATGCTGTCATTCTGCTCCAGGAAGTCAAGAGTGTAAGTGTGCGTGGCATCAGATCAGAGGCATTAGTGGTAGGAAGAGGGTCTCCAGAGACCTCTGACCATGTATACAGTTTGGACAAATGACACAGACACACATGGCCAGCCTAGAGTCTGTGATGCCAGACTTCATTATAGCTATCTCCTATTTACAGAAAAATAAATAGAAAACATTGGCAGGCTTGTAATAATAACATCTAGAGGTGAAACAACAACTCTACATATTTTACATTTACAAGACATCACTGATTAATAAAAGAAGACTCATAATACTAGTCTATTGAGGGTATTGAACAGCTCGCCTGGTTGTGTCCTAAGTTAACTAAATACACCTTCCAGCACCTCTAAAGCTCCCTAATTAACATATTATATATTGTGTGTTTAAAAGGTCCAGTGTGTAGGATTTAGCAGCTGTAGTTGCAGATTACATCTCCCTCGCTTCACCTTCCCCTTTAAAGCATGTAGAAGAAACTCAAAGAATGTAAAAAGCACAAAAAACGCAAACAGCCAGTGTTTTGGTTTGTCTGTTCTGGGCTACTGTAGCGACATGGCGGTTCAGTATGATGGACTCCATGGAAGGAAGATGTAAACGGCTCATTATAAAGTAACAAAAACACAACAATGCCTATGTACAGTTGATTATAGACTAATAAAAACATACATTCGGCCAATAGAGCCTCCTAAATGTTACACACTTGACCTTTAATCTGTAAAAAAACAAAGTTTAAACACGGTGGTGTTATGGGGGTTATGTACCAAACTATTTCTTAGCCAGGTACAGTCATATCCTGGAGTCTCCTCCGGTTGCCTGGCAACCTCGTGGTGACAACAAGACTCCGGTGGTATCAATCTTAATTATTAAGTGAATTTACCAAAATGTCAAACTTCTTTTTATCTGTCTATCAGAGTCTGACCAACGCTGCGTTTTTTAGGCCAACACTGATGTTTGAGAGCTCAAAAAGTCAGATGAAGATGTATCAGCCTATATAATATCAGAGGCTGAACATAAAGAAATATATTTAGTAATTTAAAGAATTGTAATGCAGTTACAGTATTTGCTGAGCGGGATGTTATGCAGATGAAAAATAAACTGCATTTTGTTTTTCATCGATACCAAAATATCTACAAGTAACACCAATTACATCAGCCTGTTGATTCATCAGTCGAGCTCTAGTAGGGATTCTATTTTCAGTGAATTAAAGGTTTTTGCGCCGGTCCTGATATAAATATGGATTATATTATTAGATTGAGCTGCCATATATCTGTTTATTTGTGCAGAGGAAAAGAAAACTAAACCACATGAACCTTTTAAGGATAAACTGAAAACATATTCTGTATGTGAACTACACTAAAGGCAGCCTTATATTTACTATTAGATGCTTCTGTCCCTGCTGCTGCCCGGTCACGTCAGACTGAGATCCCAGCTGGACGAGGTGCTGGACATGGAGCTGATCCAGCAGGAGGTTAATCATGGGGCTCTGGATCTCCACAGACTGGCAGGATACATCATCAACACCATGGCTTCTTTATGTGCACCTGTGCGTGACCAAGAGATCAGGGCACTGAGGGACCTCAAGGAGCCTGTGGAGCTCCTGAGGTGAGGGGCATCACCTTCACAGACAAAGCTTGTCTCTACTATATATATATATATAAAGGTTGTCTGACTTAAGTCCAGTGTCTGTAGCCAACTGTATTTCTCTACACATTGCACTTACACTGCTAAACCACATTATTACATCAGATCTCAAATACAGTAAATACTCTATATTTGCTTAATAGAGTTTTTGACTTTCAGTTCATTAAAAATGTGTGTTTGTTTGAAGTTTACTGACATCTTGTTCACAGTACTCCTCACTGTCATTTGGAGCCGCCACAGTGCGGCAGGTTACGTATATTCTTGTTAGCAGGCCTGTCACTTTGATGTAGCCCCAGTTAATGCAGAGGTAACATCAGTCTCTCTAAAATATAATAATCTAATAGATAAACATTTAAAAACACTTACTGTTATTTGTTGACATAAAAGATGGACGACGCGTCTCCACTTCCTCCAACTGCACAAAAATGAAGCCAAAATATCCCGAACACGGCTGCTGCCATCTTGCCCTGCCGACGTCATTCGGAGCCAGAGTGTGCACAGTAGTGATTGGAGTTGGCGCCGCGGTATCGATGTTCATGTTGACTCAAACGTGAGCAGGGTTCAGCTGTTAATCATGACGTGAAATCCCCTTTTTATAGCATCAAATAACTAATAAAAACCAATCAGTGTGATAAGAACTACCTAAAATGAAAACAATTATTTGTATTTGTCCTATCTGCTAACATGGAGGCAATTTTGGCTTCACTTAAGGAGCTCTGTCATGTCGTCCATCTTTTTATATGTCAGTAGTGTCAAGTTTATTTATTAAGTCTTCCCTCAGTTCTTAGCAACTACTAGCAAGTGCTTTTTTAAAATGACTAGCTTATTTGTATAATGTCTTCGTGGTGCTTCTTCTCTTTACCCAACATTATCTCCCCTGCCCTTCCCTCAGGGAGATCTTCCGCGTCTTGGGTCTGATGAAGACCGACATGGTTAACTTCACCATCCAGAGCCTGAGGCCTCACCTCCTGCAGCAGGCCGTGCAGTACGAGAGGGCCAAATTCCAGCAGATTCTGGACAAGCAGCCAGGTGAGGAAGGGCGTTTCAGTCTCTAACCCGACCGCTACAGCGTGAGTGATAAACGGCGAAGGTGACTTTGTGACTGCGAATCGTATCGTCGTTACATATTTCACTTTTCAATTAAAGCAGATTTTGACCCTGGTCGCTCTAAAGCACCATCCTGCCATTTTTCAGTTTCTCATAGATCGGGTGCGGAGTTGGACGGCCAATCAGTGAACTCTATTCTGTCTTAAGTGCAGCTGGCTAATCAGAGTCATTGGCAGAGTGACAGGGTCCTCCGTGCTGACATAGTCAAGTTAGCTGTGGTACTAAATATCAATTTTTTCCACCTTTTTTTAATTTGAGTGTCCTCCAAACTACATCTAGTCAGCACATTGATTTATGTGGTTAATAAGTAGGGTAGTTTTCTACATTATGTTCATCTGTCATTTTCTCATCTCGGTACAGATACACTTAAAGGTCCAGTGTGTAGGATTTAGTGCTTAGGCTGTATAATTAAAAACTGAAATAGTCTCTGTTTTCTGAAGAGCTCAGAAGCTCAGTGTGGTCGGCTCTGGCCGTCGCCATCTTGGCAGTTCTAGCTCCGGTGGCAAATACATGGAGTGTGGGAGGAGCTGAGACGGGCTTAAAGAAGTCTGGTTACTGAAACCAGTACCAAACCGTGATGGCACGCACCTGTCATTCAAAGCAGCCATGCCCTTAATTATGCTTAACTTTGAGCTTTAATATAATTTAAATGGGTGAGTTAAATATAAAAATTCACCCTCCATACAGTTGTCATGAACAGGGATATTATTATTATACTATAGAGACCAAAACTGTTGTCTGTACCAGGTTGTAAACATACTGTAAAGTTTGGCATTTTAATGTGGGGGCTTATGGAGATTACCTCAAGTAGCCGTTCGAGGAACTGCACTTTTTGTTACTTCTATGTTGGCTTCATTTCCCAGCCACGGAAGTTGCCGTTTGATTTAGTGCCATCTAGTTCTGGGCTACTGTACAAACATGGCGCTTCAACATGTAGCTATAAACGTGTCATTCTTAAGTAACGAAAACACAACAATTCTTATTTTCAGGTGATTTCACACTAATGAAAACATACCTATGAATATTGCATTCAATTGCTGCCAATAGATCCTCCTAAATGTTAAACACTGGACCTTTTTAATTGATGCTGTGACAGTGGAACAAAGGTGTTTAACTGCTCTAAGTCTGAATTCTCTGCTATTTCAATGGCATTGCAGTTGAGCTTAATCAATGTGTAACTGTTGTTTTATGTGTTCAATATATCTTTGTCACATATATTTTACTGTTTCCAGCTTCTCTGGACAAAACCACCGCGTGGCTTCAGGCAGCAATGTCAGAAGAAGCATCGGCCATCAGAGCTCCCAGTCCTGACAGTCAGGGACCTATCAGTGCCACCGCTGTCCTCAACCGGGCCTACATGCATCTGCTACACTGGGACTCGCAAGACCAGAAATATCCCGAGGTCAGCTGCAGCCTGCAAAAATTACATCACACTACACTTCGGCTTTCATTTGTGTGATATTTTATTGATTATCAGGGAATGTTCAGTCTCCCTACACACTTCTCCTCACCCTGCTGCATGTTAAAGCATCTGACAACACATTAGAGCTCATGTAGCATCGTGCAGCAGTGGCTCCCAACCTTTATTTGTCTGACGTACTGACATAGCCCTGTCAGATGTACTCAAGTAACCCTTCATCAGCATCACCCGGCATGTTTCAAACGTGTTTATTTAAACAGATTTTAAACTCTATTTAACACTATTAATTATAGAAAAGTAGATATTGTTGTTAGCTTAGAATAATGTTGTCTTATAATTGAGCTTTCAGTGTTTAGGTGGTTTGGAGTTGCATTCCTACCACTTGGAGTGGCTGAAGCTGAATGTTATAAACATTTATCCATTACTTTTAGCTCAATTTCACCTCTAGTTGTGTATCACTGTTGTAGAAATCCAGTGAAACTTTATCTATGTTGTCTTCTAGATATAGCTGTTGTTTTTCTTTAGGAAAGCTCATATATCTACTGAAAATTCCCTGTGATTAACCATATGACACGTGACCCTGACCTGACCTCCACACACAGACTGTGCTAATGGACCGAGCCCGTCTGGACGCTCTGGGCCAGCAGCTCCAGATGCTGGTCCTGGAGGCATCGGTGCTGCTCCTGACCAACGCTCAGTGTGGGGGCGCCATTTTCTCTCTGCTGGGGTTTGTAGGTAAACTCAGGCAGTCCGTCGCTGCCCTGCTGGAGGGCAGTCACACCAGGTAAGAGGAGGATTTGGTGATGCATGTACTGGCTGTCATGGGGAACAGGTATTGTATGAGAAGGAAACCAATGGAGGTGACAGGAGGCAACTAGCTTGTCAGAACGGATCCAACTAACCTCATTCTTTCTGTTTAAGAGAAGCCCCGTCATGATTAGTGGATAAATGTGGAACAGCAGCTTGTGATATTCAAAGCCTGCTCACACTCTGGTCCAGGCTGCAATAAAATGTAGCACAGGCTATTTCTCCCTTAATTACCTTTATTAAAATGGCATTTTATTTCATCTAAATCTCTTTTGAGAACCCTTATTTATAGACTTACATGAGTCCCTTTGCTCAACACCCCATACAAACGAGTAAATTCATAGGCCTGAGACCAAATACACTTCTAATGAAGCTTGCTGGTAATTTGTCTAATGCTGGTTTTCTGGTGCTGCAGGGAAGCTGACCTGAAGCAAGCGCTGCTGGGACTCGGGGAGACTGTTCTGCAGCAGGTGACCGAAGCCCTGAGCGGCCAGAGAGGAGCATCCCTGCCTCAGGAGAGCCTGGATCTGCTAAAAGGACAAATATCTGAGCTGTGGAAGCACAATAACCCTGTTCGCACACTCATAGGTCAGGCTGAGCACAAGAGGGCTCGAGAGATGATTCATTGAAGCACAAAGGGGGGGGTGATATAAATCCATGTATTAGATTTAAGTTAAAGTATTTATTTCTGGATATTGGGGGTGGTTATGTTTTTACTTTAAAGTTTAGAACATGTTACTAAAATAACTTTTTGGCATATTTGCTGAAAATTCTCATTATATCCTGACAGATAGTCTGTAAATTGATTGGGTTCCTTTGGCTTGGCCCGAACAAAAACAACCAGAGCCAAGAAAGATAGTTGATTGTTGAGTCTCATGTCTGGGTCTTCAAATACTGGTGCTGGGAATGAGACTCAACAATCAATTAACTTCAAGCCACCAACCCAAAGTGTCTTTCTATCTATCTTGGCTCTGATTGTTTTTGTTCAGGCCCGCCAATTAGGAGAAGTAGGAGGAGCCAGAGGAACCGGATTTTATTCACAGAATATTTGTCTTATGTACTTTTGTCAGATTCAGAAAATAAGTTATTTTATTTTATTTTATAATAGTTATCTATTGCAGCTTTAAATCCAGCTAAAACGTTTCAGTTCTAAAGCACATCTGGGAAAACACTGTATGTTCACATGTCAGAGAACTTAGTAGTATAATAATAATAATAATAATAATAGTAACAACTAACCAAAATTACATAACCTCAGGTTGTTATGTTTCATTAAATTTAAAGGTCCAGTGAGTAACATTTAGGAGGATCTATTAGCTATTAAATGGAATATAATATCCATAACTATGTCTTCATTAGTGTATAAGAGCCTTTTATATCTACCGACACCACGGGTTGCATTTTATGGAGTCCACCATGTTGAACCACCATGTTTCTACAGTAGCCCAGAAAAGACAAACCAAACACTAGATACCGTATTTTGGGCATTTTGCAGCCATTAGAGTTTCTCCTTTGTGCTTGGAAGTGGAGCATGAAGTGAGGTAGTTGTGATCTTCAAGTACACCTCTAGCTAGCCATCAAATCCTACACACTTGACCTTTAAGGGTGTAGTAGTTAGTTAAAATTATGACGTTGATAAACCCTTCAAGACTTATTGACTAGACATTTTGATTAAGATATGGTAGTATATTTTAATCTATAGAAAGCTTACATGTTGGGGATGCACCATTTCCACTCAAAAGGAGTAACATGCATTATACTGTCATTTGGTTTGGGTTGTATCTGTCCACATGCATGTTTTTAAACTTGAATGTGACTTCTTTCCATCTCTCTCCCTCCACCCCCTCATCCCTGTCTGGATCAAACATAGGAGAAAGGGTACAGGGCTTCCTCCAGGCCATGCTGCAGGGCGGCCCCACTAAAAGGAGTCCAGAACTGCCCGCTCCCCTCAGGCTGGTGAGCACTGAGCTAGCCGAGCTGGGGATGGCCTTTGGGCGAATCGTCCACTTCAACCGAACGGTCTTCGGTCCCTTTTACGCACCCCTCCTCAGGAAACTGCTGTTCCCACCGGGAGAGGCCGAGACGGGGGAGGACTCGCGTTAGGCTGAGGGTGACCCAGACAACATCCAGTGACTGTTACATAAGCTACATTTTGGCGCTGAATGTGTAGCTGTAGAGTGTAAATACAGAGAATGAGAATGTTTGAGGGAAACACATTTAGAGTCTGCAGGAAAGAAAAAGTTTGGTAATCAAGAAAGTGCTGAATTATTATTGCATTAGTAATATAATGCATCTAAACCACACGCTTGAGTAATCGATTGCGTGAAACAAATTGAGTAATAGAAAACTTAGTATGAGTCATAATAAGAGATTGATTGTGATTCTGAACTGTTTTTGAATAGGCTGGAAAAAATATTTTGTTCATTTTCACTCAAGATAAACACCCTCAGGAAAAGTATAAAGTACCAAAGATTATGCTAATAGTTTGTAAATAGTACTTCAGTTTTAAAATGTAGCTGGTTTCTGTTGTTATCTTTATGTTTGCAGACAATTATGTATTACGCCAGGTTCAGACAGGAGGCAGAAGCATTGCTGCCTACTTCCTTTCCCCTTATTTTTTTCCCCACACATTAGGAAATTTCAAAATCTGCCCTTTCACTGTTCAGTCCCTCCAGGATTTTGCAAGCGTGTGTTTGTGGCGCTCTAAAATGACTGATTTCACAGCAGGTTTTCTAAAAAAGTGCGATGCGCGTTGCCATTTTTTAGGCATGGCTCCTTGCAAGAGGAGGTGAAAATTGCAAAAGTATAAATTAAATTATTAAAAATTTAAAGCAACTTTTGCATGTGACATGTGAGAAATTTGTGCTTTTTGATGACGTATGGCTCAAGGAACAATGAATTTGCGGAAAGGTCGTGTTGATTGGACAAAAGTGCAGTTTTCACAGTGATCGGTTGAGTTAACGCTAATTGTTGCAGTTGCAACCTCTTGGAGGGACCAATCTTTATTAGAAATAGTATCACTTACTTTTTCCACATATTTGTAAGTTGTGTCTAAAAAGAGATAGATGAGCAGAAACACACACACACACACACACACACAGGGAAAAGAGAAGCCCCTCCCTGCAGATCACACAAGGTGATGATCCTTTTAACTTCATTGTCGCAGAAGAAGCAACATCCCGCTTATCCAGGAACACATTAAAAACATTATTAATTCATGAGGTTATTAAAATCAGCTCCATGTGTGATTAGAAAAAAGCAGAGGAGCACAATCTGGCAGCGCTTCCGACTCGTGTCTGAACCCAGCGTAATTTACCAAAGACAGTGTGCACTTTTTTTTTCCTTTTATCCTTCTGTAATTATAAACCAAAACTATAATCAATGTTTCCTTACAGTTGTGGGTATTAGAGGCGGTGATGTGTGAAACAGTGGTTATTTGTAAATAAATACCAAATTGATTAACTGTAATTTTATAGTTTGAGAGTTTATTACAACAACTGATACGGTTGAGATAGCTTTTGTTTGGGATGCATCACATGTTATATTACTGAAACTAAGAGAGAGCCTGTTATCTGCTTGCTTTGTGTTTTCAATTTACATGCCCTTTACATGCCAAATTTTCATACGGTTGGGATATCTGTGCAGCAGCCAGCTGCAAGCGATATATAAATATAAAAGGAACTGTGCTGGTAATACAGGCACCATGCAAGATTTAATGTATTGTTCCAACAGTTCCAGGAAGCCGTTGGTTTATGTTCATTTCCAGCACTTCCAGTATGAACACCATATACCAGACTCCTGCTTATGTTGCATAATGCATCACAGTGAACATGAAGTTTGTATTCACTTTGTGTTACATTATTGTTGTGATGTGTGATAAGAACAGTATAAATCACATCAGAAAAATTATGTAACGCTGAAAATCTCTCAGACTAGATGTTCACTGATGAAGCAACACAAAGTTTTAATCCTCAAGCAAGAGTCAGCTGGCATATTTTCATATAGTATGGAAATACATACACACCGATGGATGCCTGGAATTCTAGCCAACATACATAAACAGTTCTGAAAACATTGTGGTATAATTTGCAAAATGGTAAGCGTGAGGGATTTGCATTCATAAAACGGGCTAAAACATGCTAAATTTGCACATACAGGTCACACAGGTAAGCATGTTCTGAAAGATAAATGCCTAGAAATCTTTTGAAAGGTCTTTTAACAACATTTCACACTGTTTTTGATAGCATTTTCCAGAATCCTCAAAGACCCTCCAACCATATGAATAAAATAACATTTAATCTGCTGCAACATGAAAAAGATTTTTAACCTGTTTCCCAAACTGCAACTTGATTCCCTAATCCAGGTCACCAGAAATCTGCTATTGCCCAACGTGTTACTGTCTACAAAAATATGATATAATGGAAAGTAACATTATTATAAAGAACTATATAAAAGTGTCGTACAAATCAAGCGAGGACCTTTCCTGCTACCGTGGTTACCACCATGGTTTAGAAGAGACACAACTTTGTTTTTAATCCTGCGACAAACCATGAATCAAAGTTTTTTTTTTTTTTTTTTATCTAAATGGTTAGAAGAGATTTAGAGGATTCTGCATCAACACAGCAATAACTGTTTTTTTCAAACATCATAAGGCACTTTGGAAAGTCGGATGCTTAGCTCTGTGACTTGAATGTAATATAAGCACAAACTGGGGCTAATCGTTTGTTGAGATTGAAGTTGCACCACCCACTAATCTCTATTGCAGGGGAAACACTGATAGTATAATTGTACAATAATTAGCCATGTTGTTGTATTTGTTATAATTTTCAACAGCTGGTGTAATGTTTCTTTGTATTTTACTATACAACCATAAAACAAAATCAATGGTGACAACAGACATGAGAGGGATTCTTTTATAATTGTATTATTTAATTTCATTAATATAATATTGCTTTGAAATTTGAAACAGTATCACATTTTCTTTGACAAACCATACTCTGTCCACAAACATGGGCAAAGCATTGTATGCTGGTACAGTTTTTCTTTTTTTCTCTCTCTACATTTTGTTACATTTCTGTTAACCCTTAATAATTCCCAGTTACTATCTCCAATAGACCTGAATCAATAGAAATGCTCATTAATGGTCTATATCATTAATGGTCTACAGTGCTCTAAACATTACAGTACCTACATGACAAGATCAGAAAGTCACATGGAGGCCAGGAAATAAGACTTGACCTTTACTGACTGACCTCTCAAGACAGGAGTGATACACCGGTCCTGTTTGGCCAGTGATGTGGGTTACCTTTCATCTGTGTGTTGGGATTCATTTCAGGGGCAGTGGAGGAGCAGGGGGATATACAGAGTGAGATCTAAATGTCAGAGTAGCGCTGGTTTGGCCCTGCATGTTGCGTAAGGCTTACCTCTCATTTTCTCTCTCTCTATCTCTTTTCCACTGCTCTGCCCTCTAAACTCAACACACGCAAACACACTCAGATCGGCTGCTCCCCTTCAACTCACAGCTTGGTATCCGGAAACTTGAACGCTGGGGTGAGCTACACAAGGAAAACACCAATGTTAAAAAGACCGGTACATGCACAGCCATAACATGCCACCAAAACTTGCTTTAAATAGCTGCTGCTCATTAAAGTGTAATGCTTTTACATTATGCATTCATACTAGAGCAGGTTGTCTTGGTGACACACAAAATGGAAGAACATACGTGACAAAATGTTGGAGGAAATGACGACAATGGAAACGTGGAGGGATGAAGATGAATCGCTGTATTGGTGTGTAACGAAGAGGGAACATAAAAAGCAAATGGCAGATGAGTGAGAAGAGACGAGACACTGCTACAGTACATACAAAGACTGCTCAGGCCAAGTGCATCAAAGGGTACAAAACACAAAAAAACACTGCCAACATGCATCATCAGTGGAAGCTAACAGTTAACAGTCAGAACAGAGTGGCAATGACACAGCCACGGTACCGCACACAGACCAGCTACATCTCAACAGTCAGTCTGCAGCCACACTGTCTTCTGGAGAGGAGCTCAATACCTCACTTCTCCTGCAGCACACAGAAACAAGGACAGTGGACAGTGATGTAACGAAACAGTCCAAACTCCCATGAGGACAGACAGAAACAAGGCATACAGCACGCACAGTCGTTAGTGCACACAGGGGAGAACCCACAGATACGTGTCGACTCCACAACGAGCATTTTTGAGTCACAGTGCAGGAGGGAAATTATTATTATTTATTTTTTTTAAAACTGTGTCATGTTCTTAGCATAACAAATCCATTCGCATTAACACGACACCAGAGCAACACTTAGATTTGGCTCTTTTAATGTAGTGGAATTAAATCTTTTCACTGCTGTTTATTTGCAAGTGACATACTTTGCATGTACTGTACCTAATTCTAAATCGGTGTGAAACAGCACGGATACCTACCCATGTAATCATGATAATAAGATGCTATGTTGGGAAATGTGCGCCAAAATAGTGCTCGAGGCTCTTTAATATACTCGAGATGAATTAAATCGCGTTGAGGATGTTTTTGTTTACATTAACAAAATTGTGAAACGTGAAACCGATGTCAGTACACTCGATATGCTTGTGTAATTGTTTGGGTGGTATTTCTCTTTGTTTTTTTGCCTCTGGTTGTAACAATGTCGGGATCCCTCGTGATCAGTCAACCCCTGTCTATCAAAAAGTATCACAAATGCACTAATTGTCCTATTTGCACCGTAAGAAAAGAAAAGAAGGTATTAAAAGGGATAGTGCCATGTTTTAACACAGTGTTGTTGTTTTTTAAATTGACAAGAAGAAGATGCTGTGATTTGCAGCCTCTCGTTGCTACCATGAATGCTGAGAGACTGCAGAACAGGGCAGTACGAGGCCAGAGCAGAGACTCATCTGGACAAAACTGTACCATCATAAGAGCGTCGTCATCCCAGCCTAGTCACAGTCAATTTAAACACACCAGGAAATCAGAAGTGTTGTCTTTTTTTAGTCTTTTTAGAAGCAGGGGGGATCGTGCAGTTGTTGGGTGGGTGGCGGTAGTATTCAGGAAGGTCGGAGGAAGGTGGGGGGGCTTTAGTTGATTATAGGTAACCGAAATGAAGTAAGGCTGTCGTCCTCGGTAAGGTGTAGGAAAATTGTCCTCCTGTGTGTGTGTGTGTGGGTGTGTGTGTGTGTGTGTGTGTGTGTGTGTGTGCGAGGTTCAGTTCTTGGTCCGTTTGAGTTCAGACATCAGTGATAGATTTATGACCGATCCATCGTGTTATATGAGTATTGTACAAATGCGTAGAAAAAAAAAAACAAAACAGGTTGTTTGCTGCATGTTGCTGTTTTGATTAATTGTCCGTCTTGCATCCCATGCTAGCAAAGCAGCCTCCTCATAGTGCCTCACAGTGGTAGATGCCTGGTAAGACAGGACAAGCTAAAGATGGAGAAAGAAAAAAAATAAATAACTGTCTTGAGGCAAAACAATCAAATAATTCAGTAAGTTAAGAATAAAAAGTGATGTTGAAATAACAAAAAAATACGTTTTACAGACTTGTAAATCTAGGTATTGCATCTGTGCAATATCAAAAGGGTCTAATTAAAAGAAAAGTTCAGTGTATTGTGGAAGACGTCGTTCGATTTCTTGTCAAGAGTTAGACAATATTGATACCACTGACACGTCTGTTCAGTAAATATGAAGCTAGCACCAGCAGTGGGCTAACGTGGCTTAGCACAGAGACTGGAAACAGCGAGCCAACTCTGTCAGAAAGTTAAAATAAATCCACAACCAACACCTCTAAAGCTGACTAATTAACACGTTATATCTATTTTGTTTAATCCGTACAAAAACCAAAGTGTAAAAATGACAATTAGCCGTTCTATGAGGGGTTAAGTGCGGGACTATTTCTCGGTCGGGACAGTGTCGGCAAAGTAAAGATTAACATGCTTTATTTTGTCTGTGGAGAATCTCTTCTTTTCCTCTAATGGCCTAAAAAGGAAGAATAATAAAAAGGTGCAACCTCAGGGAGCTCTCAGCAGGTTGCAGTCACATAGACCAGCAAATAGTGCAGCACCGATTTGTCGTTTTTGTAGCAATTAAACAAATTTAAACGATTGAACGTGTTCATTCGTGAGCTCTAGAGATGCTTTTCCAAGTCTTTACGCCAGGCCTGCTGCTGGTTCCAGCTTCATGTTTACTGTACAGATGTGAGAGTGGCATTATATATCTAACTTTCACAAGAAAGCAAAAAAGCCCATTTTCCAAAAAAGTTGAGCTTTTCCTTTAAAAATTTAACACAACGGCCCCTTTGGTATTACAGTACAGACAACTTTGTAGTTTACTCAATATTACAAACTTAAAACTTTCTGGAAATTAAACTTCAAGCCAATGTGGAGTCGAGATACAGATGAAAACAAAAACTCAACATGCTTGTTTTGCCTGTGGAGAATCAATTTTTTTAAAAATGGCCTGAAAGAGGAGGAATAATAAAGATGCAACCTCTGGGAGCTATCTGGGATTTGGAGGCAGATGCAAGTTGTCAGGAGGAGGAGGATGAGGAGGAAGAGGCAGTTTGGTTGAGAGAGCAGGGCCACTGTAAAATGACATCAGTCCAGGATCATCCGTTCCAGGGCTCCGCCGGCAGCAGCAACAGGCGAGGGAGGCTGCCAGGGGTGTTGGGGAGGCACGGGAGAGCCGCAGGAGTGTTTGTCATGGTGGGTACAGAGGTTGGTGTGGGTCGCTGGGCAGGGCAAAGGAGGGTGCAGGAGTAGGCAGCCCTGAGGGATGCTATACCATCACAGTGAGAAGGCACGGGGCTCGCATGTATATATATGTATGTGTGTGAGAGATGAGTAAAGAACCAGATGCAGGGGGGAGAGGAAAGTACGAGGGGGGTGCAGAGGGGCGGCTGTGGGGATCCGGCCTCAGAATATGGTGGTCTCGTACTTGGTGCTGACGGGGCGCCTGTTGGATTCCCGCTGGTCCAAGAGCCAGGTGGTGCTGCCCAGGGACTGCATGTCTGCGTCCATCTCCAGGGGGTCGATCTGCCGGGGGGAGGGAGGGAGGAGGGACGAGAGGAGGGCGTGAGACGGGCGGCAGTGGAGGCCATTGCGCCACACTGACAAGTCCTCTGCTCACACACGTGCATGTGGATTAGAGGTACAGTCCAGTGATCATGTTATAATCACAGACACTCAGGGCTCAATCCACAACATGGATGATGTCTGACAGACAATACAAACAGGAAATAGCCGCAGCAGTAAATCAAAGCTACAACCCTCTGGGAGTTAAAGAAAACATACTGATTAGTAGTTCAAAAGCAACATGTGCTCTACACCAGTGGCTCATACAGACATGAGTGCTACTGTCATAATGTAAGCAGTCACATATTCTGATTACTACTGATTTGCTTAGAGCTAGATTTGAATTTGAAATGGCAAAAAATGTTTAAATTCCCTGCGTCTTCAGTTCAACGCGTGTTAAAAAGATAGATTCAAAAACTGAGAAGGGGAGCTTAAAACCAGCCAACAGAGACAACTTCTTTACAACAATCTTATTTACAACAATCTTATTTACAACCCCTCACTGGCACAATTACACCAACAGTCCTCATGGAAGCTCATATACAGAAGTTAAATCGCAATCAAGAAACCCTCTCTTCTCTGAATGTGTTTGACCACAGACTCTGACCTAATCGCACCTTAAACCCTAAAATGTAAGATGAAGATGAGAGATGGGAAAGTAAAGGGATGACAGTAACGTTTATGGCTGTAATATTAAGAACCACAAAAGAAGGTGACAAAGTGCACTGCGGCACCGCAACAACAACAACAACAACAACAAAAAGAAAGAGGGGAGGGATTGGTGTGTAAGCAGATGTGTGGTGATTACAGGTTGTATAGAGGAAAGGAAAGAGAAGGACCTGGACTCCAGGGCTAACAGAGTGCAACGGGAGGAAGGAAGGACGGTGGGTAGTACACGTGTGACAGTGACAGCAGCGGCATTCGAGCAGAGGGGCACCCTGGGAAGCAGGAGGACCAAGAAGACAAGAACAAAGACATGTTAAAAAAACGAGAGAATAGAGGGACAGAGCAATGAAGAAATCCAGAAGCAGCAGTAGGACCATGTCATCACTTGTTTGGAGCTATAGAAGGTAAATTACTCACAAAATGTTTCTACTTCTGGTGTTCATGTTATTCAAACCCTCCCCTGAATAGCGATTGTCCAATCGTAGCTTACCAACAGTTAACCAGGCACGGCAGGTCTGTCAAGCTTTGGATTTCTACACACATTGACGTGGTTTGTGTGTGTGTGTGTGTGTGTGTGTGTGTGTGTGTGTGTGTGTGTGTGTGTGGGGCTGTAGTAAGGATGGAGATTTGGAGATTTATCTTTTAAAACCAAAAACACAAGAGCAAACTGTATTTAGTTTATTAAATAGTATGTTTATCTTCTCAAACGTAAGCTGCAATCATTCGCACTCAGCTAATGGCTTTTCTACCTACAGTAGTAACCCAGCGTTACTTAAGAAAGTCACAGGTTAGATATTATAAAGCCCTGTTCACAACCACTGTGTAATATTCTCCCACTGTGTGGAAGCTGCAGAGTGTAGGCTATTGGACTACCTCAGCCAAAGTTAACATTAAAGGTGAAAGCATTGTTTGACGAGTATGTAAGCTAAGCAGCCAAACAGGGTTATGTATATAACAGTCTGATCTTATATTATTCCTTATCATAATTGGGATATCATTCTAGGGTTCACTAGCTCTACTCTGCAATACAAAAACAGTGCTTTAATTCCATGTCTAACGTTACATGGATTATTTAAGAACTGAATTTTTCTCTGGGGTATGTAGCTGTAGTCTCAGTCTTTTAACACATTATCATGTATGCAGCCATGAAGTGCATATTCAAGACCGCTTAAGAGTATTTTTGTCTTAAAACAAGTCAGCTGGACACATTAAGAAGTCAGACAGAGCCAGCCTTTTCAACAAACTCATTGAGCTCACGTTAGATTAATTACCGAGCTAGCCACAGCTGATGAAATCTGCAACCAATAATTGTCTTTTCAGCTGGAAAACAACTGACTCTCCACAGCTAGAAATAAGAAGCCTGATTTTGTCTTGAAATCAAGGACCCATTGTTTCAAATATTACAAATAATTCTAAGTGAGGAGCGCCTTGGTAGCCTAATCAAGTGTTTACCACGCAAGCCACATAATCACAACGTTGGCGGTTGAATTCCAGCTGGGAACCTTTGTTGCACGTCTTACCCACCCTTGCTCCTCATGTTTCCTGTCTGCTTCTTAGCTGTCAATCTGCCCATTAAAGGTAAATACGGCCCAAAAAATAATTACCGTTATCATTATAAACTGCAAATGTGCTGTACCAGGACAGAAAGCAACCGTAACTTAAAGGGAAAAATTTGGGAGGAATTAAAAACAACTGTATACCTGTCACAGTTTCTGTCTAAACCAACTAGATTAGGTAGCATTCACATAGCAATAAAAAGCATTAAAACAAATTGCAGCAGATAGGAGTCTCCCCCCTTCTCATTTAAAACTTAAACAACCAGCCAGACTCATTATGCAGCTCTGTGATTACTCCATATATTATCCTTACAGGCAGGTAGTAAAACAAAGTGATTTGTGTCCCTGCATAAGCATGTGGTCTAACGGTGCGCGTGCTCCCGGCTGTGCAGCTCTCTCAGGTGACAGTGATCACTGAGTGCTCATTATATGCAGCCTGAGAGGTCAATGCATCAATGCGTAGCTCAGGGTATACGTGGACATTTACGCAACACACTCAATCAATAGTGAGGAAGCAGAGGATGGGTCCAACCAGTGGGGCTGAGCCCTCAGAAAAGTCCCAGAGGAAATCATATACCCGCCTGTAAGCAACAAATAAAACTATTCATTCATCATGTCTCGCATATGCACGAAAAGATCTCCCCTGATCTGAGTGACTCAGAGTTGGGGGGGTGGGCAAGATGAGATTGTTAGCAAAGTAATGACTCATCACTTACGAACACACACAAACACACACACACACACACACACACACACACACACACACACACACACACACACACTGTGGCCCATTGGGGATTCAGTAGCGGGTAGAAAGTCGGTCACAAGGTCTGTGCACCTTTTCTGAACTACGATTGCACAATGGCGTGCTTCTTCTCTCCCTCTGTCCTTTTAACAAGTAGAGCAAATCCAACACACACACACACACACACACACACACACATACACACGTTCAACAGGAAGGGTTAAAGGGTGGTACTCACTGCTGATCTCCGCATGCTGCTCCATGACTGAGACACAGGACGGCTGGTTTTGGTCTCTACGACCTCTGAGGCCATAGATGAAGGTGGGACATAGTGTCTCGCCCTCGACTGCATTGCCATCTGATAGGCCACCTCAAATGCCTGTCCCAGTGTTAAGATGATCTCGTAGGTCTGTGTCTGTGAATGAAAGGATTGTTTTAAAAATGTGTGTTTGAATCAGCTGATTCTTATTACAAAAAAGTCTAACAGCTGCCATTTCACATCAGCCTTAAGAGCAGCTGCTGCCTAAAGGTTAGAGAAGCGAGCTTGTGACCGGATCCTTGGTTCAACCCAGAGACCAGCACGATAAATCTGGGTGGAGAAAGTGAAAGGCAGTGCTTGCCCCTCCTTCATCCACCAATGAGATGCCCTTGAGCAAGGCCCTTAACCCAAATTGTGGAGCCTTTCAGTGCCACAGATCAGACTGTGGTTGTACTAGGCATTCACCAGGTGTATGAATAAATAAAGGTGAAAAGAAAGAGCGAATATATGGACCCTTGCATGACAAGAAATTAAATTTGCCTAATGTTTTCTCAAAAGTGAATTAATATTTAGTTATTTAAAAAAAAAGCTGCTTGGACTATCAAAATCTACTGTAAGTATAATTTTGAATGACTTCTAAATCAGTTTCAATACTTGTTTAGGATTACATTTATTTCATTGCTTGTTTTCAACTATTTGTTTTTCATCACACAAAAAACTCTGCACAGCCCAACAAAAAGCGCTGCTCTTCACATTGTTAGGATAATTACTCTGTCATTATCTGTTGGCTCTTATTTAACGCACATTTTCAGAGAAAAGCAAAATCATTTTGTACACAACACTCTGCACATGGAGCAGTCGTGTTAAATACAAATCAAAAGGATCAAAATTGTCTTTTTGGCATTGTGGAAACTTTGATCACTACAGTCCAGTTACAACTGAACCCTGTAATTAACAGACACTCCACAGTGGTCCATCTGCCACAGATAAAAGATTATCTTTGACCTTTACAGAAGCTGGGACACAAATTACAACATAATCTATACCTGTACATGGAAATGCCATGCGTAGCGGGAGTGGAACTTCAATCAATCCATTAGATGAGCCAATCAAGGAAATAATGTCCGCAAGATGTTGCATGCAGTTGTAACTGCAGGGTATCCAACATCCCACCAAGGGCACTTCGTTTTTTCTAAATTATTCAATGATGTATTTGCAAAAGCTTAAGAATTATCAGAAGATTTAAGGGTTTCCTCAATCGATTATATGGAGAGTCATATTTCTATTAAATCAAGCAAAAGACTGAACACAAGACTAGTTTGTTCACATGTGCCTAACAGGATTGAGTTGTATTACTCACCACTTCCACAGTGCTGAAGACATGACAGAAGTGGTGGCCACTCTTCAGGTCCTTGGTAATATAAGCAAAAGTGCAGAGGTCATCTGGGTCCTGAGCAGCGCACGAGATGTTCCTGATCTCGTGCTCTGCAACTATAGTCTAATGGAGAAAGGAAAGAAGTGAGTGCTAACTGGAAATCAACCACTAATGGAGGTTGGGAGAGTCAACTGCAATGTTTGCATTTGACAGATCGATAAACACAGAGACACACAAACATACTTTCCCATTACCTTCGTGGCTGCATCAATGAACTTGACCCCTCTGTAGGTAATGGACAGTATGACAACTGGGCCCTTTCTGGAATCCTTTGATTTCTACAATGGGTACAATAAAGAGTGAGAGGCACGAACAACAAAACACAATGGTTCATGCACTATAAATGTGATAACAGAAATATTAAGCTATCCTAGTAGCTTCCTCAGACTGGGAAAAGAAACTGTAAGTTGTATTCTTCTTCTGTTATTTCATGTCTGATATTTTGCAAATTCATTTCAGTGAAAATAAAATTCCAAGAAAAAACAATATTGTTAAAGCTTTTTCAGTAATACTTGCCCTAATTTTAGCACAGGCATCTTGTGTGGACTCAATCCCTCGTAGATCCCTGATTATCATTGATCCTAGGTACTAGGAGAAAGAATTAGAACACTAATTAGGGTTGGGTTAATTCAGAATACATTTTCAACATTGGTGCTGACGAGCTTCATGTGAACACTAAACAGTAGCACAGCTTAAATTCTGTCATCCACACTGTGTGTAAAAGTGTATGTCCGCTTCCATGCTGAAGTAAAAAGTGACTTACAGTTGCCTCGTACCCGCAGGAGTCCAGGATGAGTTTCTCAGGCTGGTGATGCCAGGCGGACACCGTGGCGTAGGTAGCAGAGTGGCTCGGCGGCCGGAGGTTTAAACGAGAGTCTTTGTGTCGTTCACTCTGTCTCTCCTGAATGGTGACATGAAACAAAGTAAATCCATCTATCGAGGCAGTGAAAATCTTCCTCTTTTTAGTGACAGGATTCTTTTCTTTACCTATGTACACTTCAGTCTGTATAGACAATGGTGGTAAGAGTGGTAAGACACTGTATTTTGTGTATTATAATATAATTCCACTGTTTAAACCTGTAGCCACATCAACTTCAAGTACAATTTTGTGCATCTCAGTCAAGGTGGTGAAATAAACAAAGTCTGACTGCTGTACATTAGTGTGGAGGCAACGGAAGTCTGCTCGGTCAGCACTTTAATACAAGTCGTTTCTGATCTGCTAGTAAGCTCATAAATATTCATGCACTGGGATGGGCCTTTAGGTCAATGTGGGCTGTGCTCTTTCATAAATCTCTTGTCAGAGTGAAATATACTAATGACAAAATCCACAAAGCGTTTAGGAAAATGATAAGTATTGATTTTACATATCATGGATCCTGAGTAGTGTAGTCATGCAACATTTCCCGTATGTGTGTTTTTCTCTTTGGGCTCAGTGAGTCAGAAACCAGGCGAGCCATCTCGATTGTTTGTGTGTGTCATAGTTTGACCTTTAGCAAATGGTAACATTTGATCACCGAGTTATTCTTTGTTCATCCTCTTAAAGAGAAATCCAAGAAATTCTGGGAAGCAGATAGAACTGAATATGTCAGTGAATGAAGATTTTTAGTTATTCAAATATTTATAATATTCAGAGCTACTCTGGAGACAAATGATAAAGATCACAGAGCTTCTAGTAAAAGTTGGCTAAGAGGTACATTTGGAGTTGATGTTTATAGTATTCATGATAGAGATTTAGTGTGTGACGGTAGCTAAGGAGATTACGCGAACAGCTGTTTTATGAAAAATGGAAGACAGGGCAGGGAAATAAATCACTACTGTCGTGTTTAAACTTTCTGTGAAATTATATTCATCCAAATTAATGATTCTATGCAAGTTTTAATTAAAAACTAACAAGAAATAAATAAAATAGTCATTTAAGTTTTTGTTCTACATTTTTAAAGTTTAAAGAGTTTTTTCTGATATAAAACAACTCATATACAAAACCTTGGGACAGTTTATCGCCGTGAACATCAGTTTCATTGTGGTATGTATCATTTTTGGAACAATTATCTTGATAATTCAGTCATATCAACCAGCCCTAATAGAGCTTTAGGTAAGCTAAGTAGCTAAACTTGATATATGTAAATAGATTACAGTTTTTCAGCCAGAAGCAGCAGTGCTTGGCTTTATAATATTAGTTCCCCTCTGCATCATATAATACTTTTTAATATAATTTTTTGGGGGCTTTTATCGCCTTTAATTGATAGTGACAGCTGAGTGACAGGAAAGGGGGGGGGAGGGTTTCATTTATTTTATTATGTACACCTAGCTAAAACTAATCAGCCTAATACGACAGTCCTACAATAAATCCTACCTTCATGAAGGTTATAATGTTCAGTTTTTGTTGAAACTGTCAATTGCATGGTCATTTTGGAGGAAGTAGTTTGTGGTGCAATTTTGTGTCTAACCCATCAGGTTAAATAACAGAAACACCTTTCTGGGTAACACAATACAGTTTTAAAACTGAACATTATAGGATTTATTGCAGGACTATTGCATTACGCTGCATTAGTTTTAGTTAGATGCACCTAATAAACTGTCAACTGGAGTATATCACATAAAATATAATAGAATTTCTGGAAAATCAATTGAGAAATTGTAGATAAATGGATAAAATATCAGACAGGAATGTGTCTTTTTGGCTAATCCAGCAAATTAAATTCTTGAAAAATCAAAGTACTTCATCAAGTTGACGCAAAAATGAAAGACCAATCGTTCCATAAAGTAGTCCAGCTCATTGATTTCCAACATTGTCCTCAATGGTCTAGTCCATCCAGAGATATTAAAGAGATAAACTATGGTATGAATGATATAAGTGATTTTCTGATAGTAGACAAATTCTTATTATCTCACTGTACTATATGTGTTGTAAACATATTCCTGAACCCAAATTACTCCTTTGCCATTTTCCCTGGTTACAGTCCAATGTTGTTGTGCCCACTAAGACTGAACTCAACCAGTAAGTTTAGTTTTACATCCAGAGCAGCTCTGCATCTGACTACAACTCCTGCAACATGTGACAAGACACCCCAACACATCTAACTTTGTTCAGCCTCCTCCTCTATTTTTCAGCTAAAAGTATGACGGTTTCCCAGAAGACGATAAAAGCGAAAGAAGGTGGAACTCACTACAGAGCGCGGCCTCTCACTATATGAACGCAGAGAAACACTACAGTCTTGTTCAACTCCTCTCCGCCTCCGGTCTGACTCTGTCAAGGGCAGGAGCATGTCCATGGAGCGACTGGTGTAGGGGTCCATTTGACTGAGTGGAGATGTGGTCTGGGACAGGAGGTCATGAAACTGCCATACACACACACACACACACACACACACACACACACACACAGCACAGCACAGCACAGCACAGATTAATGATTTGACAGCACTGCCTACATGGGCTGGTTTCCCAGATCTACATCCAAGCTTAATCCGCAACAAAAGAGCCTCTTCCATGGAGATTCTCAATTCTTTTTAGCCCAGTTTAATCTGCCTGGGAAATCAGCCCTGAGTATTTAACTGTTGTGAACATAATGATATTGAAGAATCTCATTCCAAAATTAGATATCCGCAGCTGAAAAAAAGGAAGAGGATCCATTTTCTCACAAAATAATGTTGGCATAGAAATAAAGCTTGCCATGCAACGTTGTTTAACTTCCATCTTGAGCTCTGTTTTTATTGTTGCTCAATAACTGGGTGTAATCATCTATCTCGAGCACTACAACAACAAATACAAACAAATGTGAACCCATTTTAAATTAAAAAACGCATTACGTATCTTTTATAGACATCACTGACACTAATTATGGGTTACATTGAGGGCATATGCAGAACTACCTTGCTAATTGGGCATATTTAAGCATACCCAATATATTTAGCAAATTAGACGGTTAAATAGGACGGCGGTTAAATAGTACCACTAACAATGCTACAGTCTCAACACTTTTGGTGCTTTAGAAAACATCTTTCTTGTTCTATGTGTTGTATTTTTGTGGAGCAGACATCAAATCAGAGCCACCTAATGAAGAGCCAGCAGGGAAGTGCCTATAATATTTGAACTGTATCAGTTTCACCAGTCTTACCATAATTGGGGACAGACGACGGGACTTAGTCGGCGCCTCCTCGTAGGGTCTCTCTGCTAGAGAGGCAATGATCCTCTTCCTGTGGCCCAGGGCACCAATCTTAATAACCTAGAGAAGACAGCATCAGGGCACAATATAAGGAGTGCATTGTCACATCAATATCTCAAACACAAAAATGTATCTAGGCTAAGCTAATAGAGATGTATCCAAAATACACTGACACAGAGTTAGTGGCATGCACCATTCACTGGCAGGCATCCACAGGCAAACAGAAATGACTCTCGTCAATAATTCAGCCTCAATCTGTTTTGCCGTAAGCTTAAAGTACAGCACTGTCTCCTTCCCGGGACACTCTATAATTCAAGATCCATTTTTGGACATAGTGCTAAAATAACAGAGGAAAATTTGGTGATTTTTGGGACGATAACAAGTAATATGCAAACAAACAAGTGATTTTCAAACAACTGTAATACATAGATCCACTTCATTTGTCACAATTAAAATACATGTTTTTAATTTACAGTATCTTAACACAGCAAGTTCACCTGACACACGTCTATCCATAGTATCTATGTCCCTTTAAACCTTTTACAAACGCAATATATATACCAGCTTGTGTTGCTAAAACCCTCTGAGGAGGAACCATAGGTTAATTTTATGTAGTCAAAACTCATTATCTTAATACTTTATATTTGCATAATTGGCTATTAACATTCATGCTCATCCAGTAAAGGTGGATGTCGAGTGATTAATGTTACATTTGCAATTATGTTGCTGGTACAAAATACTCCGTAACAGGCTCATACGGTTCTTTGTCTAAAGCCTTCAATTATTTATTCAGTGAGAGTCGGAGGCAGAAGAGGCAACTGGTCTGTCCTCTGGATTTCTGGTGATGTTGTCATTATTCTCATGTACAGAATCCCAGTGAGACCAGTGTGCATGAGGTGTGTGAAATAAGAGGAAAATTTAAATAGTGAAAAAGAGCCTTAGGATTGTATGGGAATTCAAACCAGCTTGTAGATCAAAATGAGGGTTGATACTATTTGCTGTAAGATTCTGAAGAGGATGTAGGAAATGTAATGGGCAAAGCGAATTCTGCCAAGATGCTCAGAGGCAGTTCTGCTACTCTGCACACTGAAAGTAATGTGCCCTGCTCTCACACCCATCTTTCTGTACTGCATCGCAGTCTGCTGGACACAATCCCTCACACACTGCATACAGTATGTTTGGTACAGTATGTTTGGCTGCTGCCTTCCTGCTGCTGCTGCTGCTGCTGCTGCTGCTACTACTACTGCAGCTGTTGCGGGTTTCTGCCATTTTGCCCCCGCTGTCATTGTGTTTATCACAACTAGCCACACATAGAAGTGCTGTGATAAGTGCGAAAAATATGATCGCCGAAAACATGCTCATCCTCTGCTCCCACACTGCCTTCTGTGAGTAAATATCAACCATATCAGATTATCTGTGCGGATTGTCGGCCTGTCTGTCATGACATAAACAATGTCTACATGATTAGTTATTGCTACTGTATCAAGGACAAGGACAGAAAATGTTAGCATTGCTGTGGTGTTTAGCAGTGTTTTGGCAAATTCAGTTGGAAGTTCTAAGTCCAATGAGATCTGCAGTCAATCAACTCGTTTACAATACAAACCCCCCCCCCACTATGATCAATACAGCAAATCAAAAGGATGGATATAACATCCCTGTAACTTAAAACAATGGCTAATTGCGAACCTTCTTTGGTTCATATGAAAAATCCAGTATTTCACAATAAATTAAAGATTAAGGGAAAGTCAGGAAGTAATTTTGTAGAAGACAATATGTTTTTTTTCTTCTTTTCTATTCCGTTAATCATCATGCAAACCCTCAGATTTATTTTAGGAACCCTTGAGGAAACCACTGCTTTAGTCTCAACACACACACATCTGCACAAACAGAGACAAATCAGCATCTGCACACATGTTCAACCAAACTACTACATGTGTTTCTCTTTGAGCCCAAAAGAAATTAGTCCTGCTTTGTAATAATAAATTATCATACAATGTTACAATATTTCCATAAAGATTAAACCAAATCATATACTTCCCTGTCATCAGCCACCATATTGCTCCATAATTTACATTTTATCTGTTAGTTATCTACTAATTACTCAGTGATGTTTCTGCTGTAGTTTTATGCAAATGCTTCCACCATCGAGCACTTTTGTTATTTCAGCATTGCATTTTAAAGTGCTTCTTAACCTCAAACCACCACACGATCCATAAATCTTTTGATTCTGTGAGAACTGATCCAGAATGTCTCAAGGCCATCAACACTCTTTGGGTCTTTGTCAAAGACAACGTCAGCTTCATCAATGTCCTGCTCACCCGTCATCTGAAAGCGGCCAAAATCTCAATTGCACTTGATAAATATGTTAAAAGAAGGCTTCTTACATTGACAATCTCCAGTTCCCACAGGTTCTTAACACACTCCAGTGTGCGGTAGCCACTTGAAAGAAAGTTGGGCAGATATTCATGCAGGCCGAGGCCATCCAGCCAGGAGGCAAGAGATGTGCTGCCATCACAGCCCAGTGCCTTAACCTACAGTGAAGGGAAAGACATGTGTAAGTGAGCAAGTGCTGTTACTTTGTACAATATATCCATCCCAGCCATGTGGCTCAAGGGACAGAAATGTCAGTCAGTCAGAGGTCTGGTCCCCACAGGATGACTTTTCATGTAGCACCACCAGCTGGTTGATTACTTTAATTAATTTGGTAATCTGAGTAATATGTTGACAACCACCAGGATACATTCCAATAACTTTTATGACCCCCTGACTTTTCATCTGGATTCCTCATGAGATCAAAATTTGGCTGCATGCAAATATGCTAACAGGCTAACCTGAGATGGTGAACATTATACTGCTTAACATCAGCATGTTAGTATTGTTTCTGAGAGTATGTTAGCATTTACCTTAAAGCAACACTGTGCCTGTGTATAGCCTTACATAACCCCCAGCATGACTGTGACTGCGACACATTCACATGCTTGGACACATTTTTTCTTTGAATGAATAAGGGTTTTCCTTACTTTGCCAGATTTTTCCAACTTACAACCCATGTGCAGCATTTTCCTTAATGAAATCCTCATGTAATGCATTTCAGGTTACTACTTAAAATTAGAGTTTGTAATAAAAAGCAATGCATAGTTCAGTTCAATTTTTAATAAGTTAATACTATTACCATCATGAACTTTTGACTTATTTGCCCCTAAATCTTTAGTGTGTCTATCTCTGATAAAATTTTTTATAATTTTGATTGGAAAGTTTTTGCTTATCTACTATTTTTTATCAACACACTGATATTTTGATATTTTGACATTTTATTCGGAGACACTATTAGTCGCTGTCTTTCGTCGGTACTGAGGTTAAGTTATGATGTTAAGTACCTTGGGCAAGCTGCGTGCCGCATGGAGGATTTTCTTTCTGTGTCCTGGGTCAGTGATCCCAATGTCTCTGAGATCCTGGTCCTCCATCACGTTACTTCCCTACATGTGCACAAACGCAAGAGATACACACAAATAAACACATTCACACACAGGCGCGCACACACAGCCATACTCATACACACATGCAAGCAAACAAACACACAAGCACATACACATGCACAGAGACAATACACAATATGGACATACAATAGCACAAAACATGAACATAAATCAGTAATCCATTATACGGTATATTAGTGTTACTTATGAATGCACTTAAAGACCACACACACAGACACACACACAGCCATACAATTATACATAAAATACACTATACTGACATGTGAAAAATAGCTTTATAAGAACATAGGTCAGTAAAAGTAACATGACTTGTTCTACACTGTATCTAGTGGGGCAAAATTGTAGCTGTGCAAACACATACTTGCTCATGACATACACACACATGCGCACACACACACAGAATATGCACATCTCTGACACAAGCAGTAACAGCAGAGTGGGAGGACAATGAAGTCAAATAAATTGTGCATGCCAAGAGTAATCAATCTGATCGGGTGCGACTCAGAGGGAACAAAGCCTTCATAACTGCAGCAGCATCTACAGGATCTCTTTGCTGCTGTGTTTCATTGAGGGACACTAAACAGTCCAAGAGGAAACGAGAATATTTCACTACAGTTTGTAACAATTCCTCAGTTTAGGATGTAGAAACAATGAACAATAATCGTTTTCCACCTCCTGAAATCTTGACTGACAAGCAGATTCTTGTCTATTTCATGTAGCTGTTCATATTTGCGGCTCCAGCTGCTTTGTCATCTTATTCCGGTTTATAGGCAGGAATAAAGATACACGGGGAACCTTGAAAATGTGGAGCTAAGCGTTTTTCCCTGTGGACTGCTGCAGATTGATTCTTCCTGGCCAAGAATGTTAAAATGTTCTGTAGTCTTTAGTCAATCTGCTCTTACTGGATTGGTTTCAGAGCACAATGCAGCAGTATTCACAGGCTTGTATCAGGATGCAGTTTGGAGATTACTCACTGATCGCAAGAATAAAGGTCAAAATGAAGCGGGGTCTGATGTAAGGGAGGCCCAAAATAGATTCTCCACTTTTATTAACACAGTTTGAAGTTTGATGATGCCCCGGGAGACTTGGCAAACTTATTATTTCATGCTGCATTTAAAACATGTGACGGGAATGTATGGTTCAGTTCTTACATAGCTTATGAGCTATGGTAGTTTGATTTAATCTGATACGACTTGCAGATGTAGCCATGGTAGGAGTCCTTCATCTCACTAAATGCACTCAGTTAATGCAACAGTGAATTAGAATTGCTCTATTTCTATGCACCACAGAGGAATTGTTTTGAAAAATCCAATTTTGTTACTTTTTCAAGAGTCGGCAGGCGTAACAATAATCTGGCAAAGAAAGAAGACTCAATTTATGTGTTACAATATGTATGTTCAGCTCTACATTATAACATTTGAGAAAGAGGGGGCTGCAGAGTCTGATGCAATATTAATGCAGTTAAGATGCAACGTAAATGCATGATGGGGAACTTCTAAGATGTTTCGCACTAGACATTTTGCCTCACTGCCACATTAGTTTGGACATCTGAGCAATGAACCATAACCGTAGTCTAAAAAACAGAAATTAGGTGGAATTTCTTTGACTGACAACGAATCCCACAAACAAATCCTGACATTCAAATTCAGTTAGATTGATCACATCTGAAGCAAGTCTGGCAGAATCTAAAAGGGCACAATATTAAACATTCACAATGTCTGCCTGACTACTCTGACCTTTCCCTTGTTTGCAACCTCACTTCCTTGTAAATATCCATGGGTAATTTGCCTTGTGAAGCTAATGATTTATCTCCTTGATGCATCAAGTCCAGCAGACACATTAGTCGTGGCATGAAAATGAACATCAGAATGACTAATGACCCGTAGTCCTCATCACATTATATCCCGGAAATCTTGAACATTTTGGAATCTTCCAACTCAATAAAACAAGAAGGTTTCTTGCTTCCTTTTTACTACCACCTTAATATCAATACACTAGTGTTACATAATGATATACACTGTGAGAATTATAGAAAGATTTGTCTGCAAGTAAAAATTTAAAACTCATTCTTTAATATCTCTCTTTGGTTGCACTAGGCTATTGCAGCTAATGTTGAAAATCAATAAGTAGAACTGATTTATAGCTATATTGGATTTATAGGATTTTTGCATCAATTTAATTAAGAGCTTTATTTTTCAGGTATTTTACTAGAACAGTAAAAAAAAAAAAAAAAATACAGCATTCAAATTGAATCTAATATATCATATCAGGATGTTTATCATTATTGCAATATTATATTGCACATGCAGATAAGGATGGTTCGATACATACCATTTATAATTCGATTCTAGTCTGTGACCTTTGTAGAATGCCATTTCCTACCTAGCCATCTCCTGTGATTTCCAGTCACCTCTCGAATGTCTACTTACAAATAAAAGCATAAAATATCCTAAAAATACCTACATACGCATCCTTTAAATTAGTTTTCTCAAGAAACTGTGACCACAAAATGTACTGAGCCAGACATTTTATGGTTAGTTTTTTTTCTGTAATGGCTAATTATGCAATCTAAATAGCCTCAAACATATATTTCTGTGCTGCAATGTCTAGTTACTCATTATCCGCCATATACGGAACACCAACATAACCGCAATACACCTGCTGACATATCAGCCCGGACGATTTATCGGTCTAGTTGTAACCCATATCACACACACCTACTCTATTCCTTTTACTCTGGCTATATTTTTTGACTGCACATACTACTTCAGATTTGTTGTCACCTCATGAACAAACACAAATCTGAGCTTAAAGCTTGTATCTGCACAGCACCTCATAGTAGGAGTAATCACACGTTCATAAGGACTCCCATTATGTTGTGATCTCATGCCTTACCAGAAAGAAAAACAGACCAGAGAGCAGCAGACCTCAGCTGGAACACTTTGTGAATACAACCACTTTTCCTCTGAGCTTACTGGTCTCACTTAACTGAGCTCAGCTGTGACAAACTGATGTAACATATAGCCCATAGTGCTAATGCTGCTCTGTGGCATGAGAAACGTCCACGTTTACCCTTCGGGCCTAGTTATTTACAGTGTAGAGCCATGTTTTCCAGAGTAACATGACCAGGGAACTGAAAACGTAATGGTGTTTTCTACAACCGTCGCCAAATGCAATATGGAGTTCCTTTGCAGTGTTCTTTATGTGTAACACAATAACGCTTTTAGCCAGACAGTGAACGTCTTTTGAGCTGCAGTTAAATGAACTTATCAATATGTAATCTGACAAAAGCGGTTAAAAAATGCAAAACACAGAGAGACAAAATGTGTCAATGCTTTCCAGAAACACCATCTGTCTGATTGTGTTTTTTTAAACCATCACAGTAGATAAATCCTATAGCTTTTGTCATTTACTTACTGGTAAAATAATACATTTGTAACCAAAATAAATGTCTGCATGCAAAAATGTGTTATTAAAATCTAAAACCAGGAGTATACAGTATATAAATATAGCATTAGAGCATGCTACTGCAGTGTAATCATACATTGTGCCGCTACTGCAAGACCGACTCGTAAGTACCACAAGCAGAGCATAATGGGTAGAGGATTTAGTGAAATTTGGCCAACAACCATGCAAAGTGTATTTAGAATAAACTATAGTGTGTTTAGACTGAGGTTTGTCCAAGTCTATCTACACAGGGGTCAAGTTCAGTGACTGTAAATCAGAAGATTCAATTAAGGGGGGAGGAGTTGGCTTTAGAATTGTACAGTAAATGAGATAACACGAGTGGGAATGCTGGGAAAAGTTAATAGGTTTTGGTTGTCATTTGTCTTGCCATTGGTGACAGCCCATATTCTTTAAAGGGATTCAGTGTGGGGCCATAAATCTTAGCAGGGTCATGCATTGCACAGAGGTGAAAGGGAGTTATGAAGGGGAGAGGGGAAAGGGGGGGGAGAAAGGGTGCAGGGGTGAAAAGGAGAGAGGAGGGAGTGAGTGGAGTTACTGGGAGACGAGCAGAGTGGTGACATAAAAAGACAAATGCAGCTAGGTTGACACAGGGAGAGACAGAGTGATGTAAAGTGGAACCGACCCTTGAGATGACGTGCTGCAGGTGACTCACCATGAATCGTAGGTCATCGAAGCCATTGAGCAGAAACTTGCTCTCGTACTGCGGCAGCCCCACGTGCTCCAGCCACTCTCCAACCGGCTGGTCCAGGGCTTTACCACAGGCCCCATCTGCCGAGAGAGGGAAGCGCTTCAGCAGTGAGAAGCCGTTCAGCCGGTAGCAGCGGCACTCAGAGGACGACACATGGCATTGCCACATCATCCTCGGCCAGCAGAGGCAGAGCCGAGTGCAGCAGCACCAGGCGGGGTGGGGGGGAGACAGGGTCCAGGCCGGGGGTGAGGGGCTCCCAAGGTAAAGGCGGGGGCCCAGCTAACTCAAACACAGAAGGAGGGTAGGAAGTGCTGCAGGCCCAGCTCAAGCCCTGCAGGGGACTGACTAGGCTAATATACACCCACTGGTGCTAGTGTGACTGACTGGAAATGTCAGGCGAGGGTGGAGGTAGTGCAGGGAAGGAAGCCCATCTGAAGCTTGGTATTGTTAGTTATGTTGGACTGAGCCACTACGGCATCTTCCAACAAACAGGGTTCACTAAACATTCCTTTAGTGATCAGATGAGCGAGTGTAAAAACTAGTGCCTGGCTAGTCTGAAAACATAATAATACTAAATACTACACGTCAAGAGGCTAAATAATTTTCAAGCTGAGGGAAAATGGAAATATTTATCACTAAATCAGACATTTTCATACATCACACATTATTTACTCTGTTAAAACTATCCCCGTAATATTCTAAAATCAGAAATAACTCCATCAGGGAGTAACACAGAAATATTCAGTTCCCCCAAAATGAATTTGTCTTCACCACATACTTGTAAAGCTCTGGCTGAGTCCCATGGCTTCATTGGTCAACCTCTTTGAGAGCTAGGACACGGCTCATACAATGAAGGTAGCAGCATTCTAAAGTACTGTTGAGGTACTCATGTTATTTTTGATCAAGGAATACACATTTGCTTAAATAATTCTTTTTCGTCTTTACTCCAGAGCCACAAGGAGTATGGTCAGGTAGATATATTGTAAATCCTACATCAAAAAAATAAATGTTGGCTTAGGATTTCCACAGTGTGCTGATTCCAAAACTCCTCAATTCATAATCAAATCCAAGTAAAGATTCCTTGATAAAGCTCCAGGTAAGCTGTCTGCCAGTGCAAAAAGGCTCAGTGTCCTTGGTGGTGCCAGTGCTCCCTGTGCTGCCCAGCATTCACACTCTTCAGCAGGCTGCTGGCTGTGCGGCTCCGCCAGAGAACGTGCTTCTCATCTCTCAAAGCAGTAAATCCAGGTTCATATCCTACAGACGGCAGGTGAGCCTTTTGACTCTGAAGCGAGGATCACTGCAGGACCACAGTGCAGGTTAAGCTAGCTCCTTCCTGAGGCAGGCGCCCCCCCACTCCCGCCCCAGCCCACCTGGTTCTTCTCCTTGCTGGGTACAGCTAGCAGCCTCTGTGCTCAGGGCAGAGGTTTGCTGCATCCCCTGCCTGTCTGAGACATGCAGGCAGCGCAGATGCAGTCACAGCAGCTGCTCCTGGCTCACACACGCTACCCCTCACTGCTCACAGGGCATAACGTCCTGACGCCGGCTACTTCTGCACAGGAGATCACAGATCTGCCTCAACCTCAGCCACTGCTGCCACGTCCTTGCAAACATCCACGACAGGCAACAGACTCAGTGATCATTCCCCCTTCTCATCCAAGCAAATCCCTCAAGCTCTTCTTTTTAACTCCCCCCCTCCTCGCTCTCGTCTCTCTCTGCTTTCTTTCTCTCGCTCTCGATCTCATAGCCCCATTCCCACACTGTGTGATCGCACTGCAGGGCTGCCGTATGCTGCCTGATGAAGTGGGGTGCTGCTCCACGTAACCACCTCTCTCTCTCCCTCACTCTCCCACTATATCAATTCCCCTCCCTCTGCCTCTCTCTCTGTCTCTCTCCCTTTCTGGCTTGCACTCTCCCTCACTCCGTCTTGCTCCCCCCCTGCCTCTCGTTCTCAAACACACAGACACTTTCTCTCTCTTCATCTGTCTCTCTTCCCCTTTCCCCTTCTATCTTGCCCCCCTTTCTTTCTCATACAAATGCACACATACTCGCTCTTCTCTGTCTGTCTCTCCCTAACCTTACCCCACCTCACCCCCGCCTCTCTCCCCACTGCACTGATTAGAATTGCACAGAGGCACTCTGATCTTGCCAGTGCAGAAAGGACACCACCATCAGAGGCAAGGAACAAGCACTGAGAGCCCCAAATCACAGTCCTTTCTGCAAAGAATGACTAGAATGTAAAAGGATGACATAGAGTCGATCCTCTTCTGCAGGAGCAATGCCAAATTTTTAGGCTAACATGGGATATTCAAACAAAGAGCCTCCTCAAGCCCCTGCTTATTAGCAGATGGCTTTAATTCATTTACATCTTACTTTGATGATAGGACAAGGGGGGGCAGCATTGATTCAAGTCAGCAGAAGTCTCTAATGCACTCGTACAGGAGAGGGAGAATGGGAGAAGAGAAGAGAAGAGAAGAGAAAAAAAGAGAAGAGAAGAGACACTTCAAGTCCTCTCTTCTCCATCTCACCCAGTCATACAGCATGACAGAAAAAAGGCAAATTCCATTATGTACTTCCAGATGCTCATGTCACATCATCCTTTTTTAGTGCACAGCAGAGGCTACTTACAGGAAAAAGCCTGGATAAACAAGTGAGATGATATAAAATTTAGATAGAATTTGGGTGAAAAAGACACACACAGCACCATTTGACTATGCCTACACAGGGAGTGGTAGACTTTAGCACCCACCTATGCAGGGGTGCTCACTGCGTCCATCACTGGTGTTATCTGGGTACAGCTGCAGGCGGAACGTAATTATGCAGGCTTTCAAGCTGCTTGCAATCACCTCACACATTCCCAAACGGGTAGTCAGCCAGTCAGTAAGGCAGTCAGGGCAAGGATAAGAGGTTCCAACAGAGGGAGGCAAAGTGAAGGGCTATTGATTGAACCTCCTCCGTAATTGGCCGCCTGTACCCCTGTTACTCTGGCGTTAACGATCAGGTAAAAGGCCAAGTCGGGTCTCCGTGACCCGTCAGTCATCCACAAGGACCAGTGCTCATCATTTGTTATCAGGAAGAGAAGCTGCTGTCAGATTTGCCCTGACTGAGGAGAAAGATGATGGAAAGAGAGCGCGAGAGACAGATGGGGAGAGGGAGAGAATGAGCAGGAGACAGATAAGAGACAGAATAAGACTAATAAAGGAGGAGGCGATGAAACATATGGGCGAGATAAGATGGTAATAGGAAGTAAGAAGGATTGATGTGGACTAATTATGATTCACTACGAGATCCCTCAACTCCTCCTCCTTCTTTACTCTTTCCTCACCCAAGTCAGCTCTTACACCACAATATCCACACAAAGACTGTTAAAAATACCAGCCACCCCATCCAATTACTTCCATTCATTTGGGACAGCAACACCTCCCACAGTAGTAGGACCTAATTACTGACTGACAGAGTATCCAATGCTCCTCCGTGGGGGGGAACTGGGTCACTGTCTTATCCCCTGTTAAACAGGCCAAGCTGTCAAATCTATCCAAGTGTGTTTCTGTACGGTTTGAGCGCTGCTAGGTCTAGACTTGGCTCCAAGGAGCGCCAAGAAAGACCTTTTTACAGCAGAGGAGGTAGAGGTTGTGCCTAGATAAAGCCGTGCCTCTTTATCAGAGCAGGAGAAAAGCACTAGCTTCTTGTCAACACACCCAAGCGCTGAAGAAAATGAGCCGCAAAGCTGAATTAATTCAGGGAAACTGAAGGCGGACTCTTTTCCTTTGAACGTCAGAGTGTGCCTGTACACAAACCGAGCCGATGCCTCCTGTGTGCTGTTAGCTGAGCTCTCTCTCCACTCCCTCTCTCTTTTTAAGCTCATTTACTCAGTGCTCTCTTAGCACACAATCGAGGCACTAGTGATGGGCACACACAACACAAACAGCCTCATCCTTGAGCACGCAGAATGGCACAAAACTGCAGGGTTGGTTTTCCGCTGCCACAAAAATCTGATGTTCCAAAATCTCCTCCTGAAGACGAATTGGCCGTCCGGATTTGAAAGGGGAAGTATACAAGGAAAAGGTGTTTTGAATAGAAAAGGGATAATTGATAAGGTTTTCCCATTTTTGTCACAACAGAAAGATAAAGGTAGAATGAATGAATGACAATTTAGGTTTCCATCTTTGTGCAATCCCCCTTATCTCCTTCTCTTCTCTCTCTCTCTTTCTCCCCCTCTTCTGATGATGAGTCTGAAGGGTACTTGTTTGTTTCCTTTCATTACATTGTGGAAATAGAAATATGACCTCTTTACCAACCGCCACGTACCAAAACAGCAACAAAACCATCCTCGCAACCTCCAGAACGACTTGTGCACAATCTCAGATTAAAATCGGGAGAAGCGACTGCATGACTCAGCTGAATCTGGGACACTTTCAGCATGCTGTTCTTCAAACAAGGCCTATAAATAGCACACACCTATACGTGTAGAAGAAAACAAACAAACAAACAACATATTTTCTCTTACGTAATGTGAAATAACCTCAGGTCTTAATTGTTGGGATAGCAATTAATCTAAGAATCCTTGGGTGTGCTGGAAGTCAAGTTACAATTAAAAGCATAAATTCACACAGCAGTGGAAACCAGCTTTGCTTTAGGACTGAGCTGACAATATGCACTTCCTTTTGGCCTAAAATAACATTAACAAAGGTAAATGATTTCATAAGGCTTGTGTATGGGGTTAAAAGCAGCCTGGAAGTAACTGATTAAAATTGTGTAAAACAAGGGAAGATTAAGATGAAGATGCTGAATAATAGTATGTCATAGTAATGATAATTGGTGTTGAACTTACTATTTATTTATTTTAGTTTTTATCATCAGTTTGAATTGTTTATCAATTTAATTCCCTATTCATGAACAGTAGATGTTTTGTATTGTCAGATTTAGTTTAATTGGTTGCACTGGTCAAACACTGACATGGAGGGTTAAATGCTGGTGCAGCAATAAAAGTCTTAACTCTTAATTACAACATAATTTCTTTTCTATTTGTGGCATCCCTACTTTATACCCTTTTGTCACCACCACATGACCATTAATGTCTCCCTCCTGTCTTTCAGTTCTGGTGGTGTTACACATTGCTGTGGTCAGCAGATTGTTAATCCAAGAAACAAACTAGAACATAACTAATGAAAATATTTATCTTAATAAATCTGCTGAGACTTCTATAAGGCGGTCTTGTGCCCCAGAGAAGCTGTTACACAATACTGTGTGATGAAACCACCTTATGGCGGAGTATCTAATGGAGGTGGGTTTACACTGTATTAACTCAGGAGAGTTATCTAAACAAACTGAGCTGATGCCAGCTGGCTTCACCCTCTCTACTGCCTGAAGGACACTTAATGAGGTGTACTATCAATTCAAACCCTATTGAGGTATACAGTAACTCCAGAAAAAAAATATGACAGTGAGGGGAATTCAGAATTATATTTCCCATAAAGTGGAAAGCTTGTGTGTAACATAACAACAATGATGTGCCAAACAAATGCCAGCTTCAGTCTCTATCCTACATCTTTTCTGAAGGTGTGTTTGAATACTGAATAACAGCTCTCAGAAAAGCTGCTCACAAATGTAATCACTTATAGGGTGTAAAAAGTTTGATTGCTGCTAACATTACATATAATTCCAATCCAATATCCTCTGCTGGACTATCATCAATGCAGCCAAGGGCTATTAAGAGCTTTAGAAATGGTTAATGAATAAGACTCACTTAATACCCCAGACCCAGTTGTCATTTTGCATTAACCAACCAATAAATTACACACCACATAGTCATGTATCTGGAAAAAAAAAGATAACCCCTCCATTCTCCATGAATTAAAAAGGTGGTGAAGCGTTACCTGAGCTTGGTGTGGGCTGTTTCTTTTTGGACGTTTCAATGCCTGCTCCAATCAAGTTCATGATCTTCTCAATCTGTTAAAGAGAACAAACATGAAACTGGAGAAAACAATCACCTTTGCATTTACTATTGATGAATAACAATACAGAGCAGTGCAGATCTTACGTTAAAATTATTTCAGTACATATCAGCCTTTGCCATTAATTCAAAACATGCATTAAAATCTGTTTAACCCTCCAACATCACACCGTAGCCAAACCAATTACAAAACAGGGACACTGAAGGAGTAGCACTGGGTGAGCAGTTAGGACAGAGAGTTGCTGCTGCTGGGAGTATTGGGAAGGAGGCGGACTGCTTTGCAATGATGGATTACAAGCAACAGTCCAACGTGGACAGCAATTCAATGACTAACCCACCACTCAGCTAAAACACTGCGGGGTGATGAGGTGAATTACAATCTAGAAGCTTTTGAAACTCCAAATTATTGAGTCCTATAGGCAGTCCTGTAGCCAAGTCCAAACTGCACAAACTCATCCTCCAGAGATTCAGATCTGTTACTGACTGTTCCTTTGTGAGTATTTGATTGCCCTCTCAGACCTGTATTATTTAAGCTTCACAGAATAAGGCAACAGCTTACTGCAAGGTTAAGTGAGCACAATGCTGCATGCAGGAGATTACAGAGCAACTCAGAGAAGAGTTGTTTAGGGGCTTAGAGCCAAAACTGTTTATTTAAGTAGTCTCTGACTTTCCAGGAGCGACAAAATCCATTTCCAGGTTGTTTGCTTTTGTTTATTTTGCTGGATAACTGAACAGTAAATAAAGTTCCAACAAAGTGCTTTGGTGCGCAATGTAATATGTCATCAAGTGCTGCTAAAAATATAATCAGGACAACTAATTACCATTGTTTAGTAGCTTTATCCAGACCTACAGTTTATTAGACTATCTATTAACATAAACCCACATACAACCCAAAATGTAAAAAACCATAATCTAGAATTGTACACTCATTTAAACATTTTAATACCTT